TGGAGTTGCATCTGCATCGTTCGACAGTCTCCACAGCCATAAAGCTGGTGGGAAGGCGACTTCTGTCTCCGGTCGCAGCGATGGCGGCTCTTCGAGCAACTACCATGTTGGAACCCTACACAAAAGGCGTCGCAAGAAGGGACAAGGCTACGCGCGGCGCTTCTTCTCGCTCGACTACTCGACATGTACGCTGTCATATTACTACAACCCCAAATCGTCCGCTCTTCGTGGCGCTATCCCACTGAGTCTGGCAGCAATTGCTGCAGACGAACGACGGAGGGAAATCAGCATCGATTCGGGCGCCGAGGTCTGGCATCTCAAGGCACCCAACGACAGAGAGTTCCAGGAATGGGCTCATGCACTGGAAAAGGCCAGCCGTGTAGCCAGAGGACTGGAAACACTGGATCTCCCCACGGTGGATGAGACAAAGATAAACACTCGACATGTGTCTGTCCACCACCACCAACCCTCTCCACACGAGGATAGGGAATGGCAACAGGTTGAAGCCCTGGTTAGCCGCGTTGTCGGGACTCGTGATGCGCTTCGCCGTCTGACGAAGGAGGTTGCAGCACAGTCAAAGCCTGTTACCAGCCCTCAATATCTCTCCCCCGGAGCCGCCAGCTCCAGCGCCATCGACGACAGCGATACATACTTTACCCCCACACAAGAGGCCAGACGATCATTCTGGAGACGGAAATCAAACACCCCTGCGGTATCTCCGGCTACTCTCGGCGCAACGACAGCTTCTGCTCTGGCAGTGCCTGTACCCGGAGGTGTGACAACGACCATCTCGGCGAGTGGTGCGAATCACGCCAGACGACAGTCAAAGGGACTGATCCGAGAAGAAAATTCGCTCCAGGACCACTGCCAATCACTCCTGACTGATCTCGATTCAGTTGTATCCGAGTTTACGACTCTGATCAACAACAGCAAACGCCGCCGCATGTCGGTACCTCCCTCTGCAGGCGCAGCCTCAAGAAAGAGTATAGACACCGTCTCGACAGCAGACGAGTTCTTTGACGCCGAGGACGCCAACTCTGGTGTCCTCAAGATCGACGGTAGTGAGGATGAAACCCCAGACTCAGAAGAGGGGGATGATAATGGAGATGAAGGTTCCTTCCGGGATAATTCGTCGATATCCTCGATAGGGGAGAACGACACGGTCAACGTCGACGATGCTGCCCACCTATTCCCGACGAAGCCCAAGAGCCTTGTACCGCTACCCCTTGACCAGGTCGTTGCAAGACGATCGACGATACCGCCTACGACGGCTCCTGCCCCCAGTCTGATAGCATTCTTCAGAAAGAACGTCGGCAAGGACTTCAGCACCATCAGCATGCCCGTCACGTCGAACGAGCCCACTTCTATGTGCCAAAAGGTTGCTGAGCAACTCGAGTACGCACAGCTGTTGAATCAGGCGGCTCGACAATCGTCTCCTACTGATAGACTGTTGTTTGTCGCAGCTTTTGCAGTTTCGCAGTTTAGTAGCGGTCGAGCTAAGGAGCGCGCAATCAGGAAGCCCTTCACCCCCTTGCTTGGCGAAACATTTGAGCTTGTCCGCACCGACAAGGAGGTTCCTGGAGGTTTCAGGCTTCTGGTAGAGAAGGTTCAGCACCGACCCCTTCTCCTGGCAATGCAGGCAGACTCATCCAACTGGTCTTTCTCCCAATCACCCGCGCCTGGTCAAAAGTTCTGGGGTAAGAGCGCAGAGATCACGACTGATGGTCGCGTACGAATTGTCCTGCGCCTCTCCAATGGATCTGAGGAGCGGTATTCGTGGAACATCGCCACCATGTTCCTGCGCAACGTGGTGATGGGTGAAAAGTACGTTGAACCCGTGGGCACAATGCACGTTGTCAACGACACTACGGGGCACAAGGCTGCCGTAGAGTTCAAGAGCAAAGGCATGTGGGGTGGACGAACTGAAGATGTCAGTGTAGAGATCTTTAGTCCAGACGGTGTCAACACCGGCAGCGGCTTGACAGGCGCATGGACAACTGGTCTGAAGACGTCTGGAAAGGGAGGTGGTCAGGAGATCTGGCGCGTGGGATCGTTGGTCGAGAACGCAAATCAGACCTATGGTTTGACAACCTTTGCCGCTAGCCTCAACGAGATAACAGAAATCGAGAAGGGCAAACTCCCGCCCACAGACTGTCGCCTGCGTCCTGACCAGCGCGCGTACGAGCAAGGCAAGGTGGACGATGCCGAGGAAATGAAGCAAACGTTGGAGGAGGCACAGCGCGGTCGTCGACGAGATCTGGAAGAGCGTGGCGAGACATACAAGCCCCGGTGGTTTGTCAAGGTGGAAAACGCACCAGAGGGCGAGGAAGTCTGGAAGCTCAAGACGGGCAAGGACAGCTACTGGGAGGAGCGGGCCAAGGGAACATGGCAAGGAGTTGAAGAGAATCTCTTCACACTTTCTTGAAAAGAATAGCGGACACTTTGTAATTGGAATCCCTCATCTTCGTTGTCGATACCCATAGACATGTAGTAACACGATACTTTGAACACATCTGGGCATCTGGAGGGCATCTGAAGGACTGGCTATGGTTTGTGCAAGGGCGACATTCTACGCGGCGTTTCATGAGGTTTACGGGACCCAGTGTCGTCATTGCCATAAGAGTCGAAGTTGAAGTTGAAGGGTTCTTTTCGAAATCAAGAAATGAACCATGACGAAACCGACTTGACGATCACCTCGTAGTGTCCCGTGTAGATACCCTGTTCAGGGAGCTCGGGATCCTCAAAACGGGACTGGCGCACAAAGGGACTGTCACTTCCAGTCTCCCATTGCCCTCGGGATGCCTTGCAGGGCCCAAACCAGGCTTGGCTTCAAGATAGAGTGCAACCCGGCTCATGGGGATGCTTTCAGGGGAGGTGGAACCCCCCACATTTGTCGAGATGAAAAGAGGGCCTTGAAGTCGCAGAGCAGGGACTGAGGGTGATTTATACAAGACTTTAAGGAGTGTATCGACATTGCTGGTCGTGAGTGGTCTGGCCTGGCCTGGTTGGAGCGTTGGCTACTGTACGGGATGCAACCACGAGGCGAGTGGACTCTTCGGATGGCCTTGTTTCACCTGGGACTAGTTCTTGGCTTTGCTTGGCTGGCAGATCTTGCTTTGCTTGGCCACCCCGATGTGAGCTGGCGCGGTATGCGTAGCGTGCGGCATGGCACTGGAAGCGAAGGGGAACTTGGGATTTGCAAGGGTTGCGAGGGCGGGTGCTTCTTGACGATCGCCCCGACGATTGAAATTTCGCAGGTCAGAGCCAACTCCACCGTCTCAGACGGAACGGGGGATAATGGGGAACAGTGCTGGATTGGGGGGTTATTCTGCGACCCATGGATCCAGTGAGAATCCATGCCAAGCGTTGTCAATCATCATCCCACTCGAGTTTAAGGAAGAAGTTTGACGGACAAAGGGCGCTGGAGAGACGGGAGTGGCAGAGACGGCCCCTGAAGATCGAAGCTGTTGGAGACGACGAGTGCTTGGATTGTTTGTTAGACTCGGTCGTGTTGTGGGTGCCTCGTTTAAATGATCCATATGGAGGAGCTTGATTGATGCCATTGAACAACATTCGGTCGCTCATCATGGATGGATGTGCTGTCAGGAGGTTGGACTGTGTTACCTGCCAGCCCCAGCCGTCTGTTGTGCAACGACTCTCCCACGATCAGGGAGTTAGCCTCAGGGGAAGCCAGTTTTGACGAAACGCTCAATAGTGAGAGACTCTCCACTTCCAGCCTGCTTCAGAACCTTGAGGGGTGTGAATCGATCGCAGGGGAGGGGGCGTATGTATGGGGAAGAGGAGCCCATTACGACGCTTGGTGGGGCCCAGATCCAGGATTTGGGAAGAATTCGACCTTCCACCAAGACCGAGAAACCGGAAAGTCGACAAGCGCTTTCTTGGAAGTGAAGCATTATTGGTCTCAAGATGTGCTTGAGGAGGAAAATACTGTGGCTGCGCAAGTCTTGGGGATGAATGTCGATGAATCCAAAAGAGGGAAGAGGTTGGGTTGTTTTTCTCGGCGCCTTCATCGATTACGCACTCACGCTTGGGAAAAAAGATACGAGGGGATGGGATGGAGGGCAGATGTTACATGGTCGTCTAGACGGTTGCTACCGCTGTATCTGTGCTTGGTGGGATTTGGCCAACTCAAAGTTTATCAGGTTTGCCCTTTGGATGCAGCACCGTAACCCGCCTCTCGCGCGCAGGATGAAGCTGTTGTTTGTTTGGTTCGTTCGTGGCTGGAAGCACAGACAAGCACAAGTCTGTGTCTGTCAGGTACAGGAGCGTAGAGGATGTCGATCCTTGATAGGCTGGTTGGTCAGGTCATTGTGCTTGTGCGTGTGTGTGTGGTGCCCCAACCATCTCCTGGACACGACATGTCAGTCAGCTTTGTTAACAACAAACACAACAATTGCGAGCAAGAGATTATAGCCATTCTATTCGAAACATGGTGTCGACAAAGGATATCGAGGAATGTTGGATCTCACACGTTCAAGTCATCATCATGCCTTGACTCTTTTCGAGATTGAGAAAAGCCGTGTGCCAACATGCAACCAAGAGGTGGGCCCGAAATGAATGGATCAGAGGCGCCCCACGTTTAATCACGGCCTCCCAATGCCCATCCATGTTGCTCGAGCTGCCAATTGATGGCGGCTGCTGGATCGTTCAGTGCGGAATCGAGCTCGGTCGTAAGATGGAGGCCCAGGAATAGAGACGAGGGACCAGGAATAGAAGCCCAGATACTCCGACACCCGCCGTGATACCATGGAACATCCCTTGATTTGACACGGCTCCACGGCCAGAGTTTTGGGCTTGACTGTCTGCCGCCGTCGTATTGTTCTAGCTGCATGTACTGATTGTACTGTACAGTCGGAGCACTCCCTCCCTCCCTCCCTCAGCTCAGCTCTGGCCCGTTTTTAAATCCCATTCCAGCCTCTTCCGCATCACTCTCGTTTTCCTCTCCTTCCCTCCTTCTTTCTCCCTCCATTCGACTTCATCCCTCCATCCATTCCACCGGTTCCTTCTTCGTTGCCATTCCAACTCCCTCGTTGTTGGATTTTTCTTTTTACTGACTGTAATTCTCCTTCCCTCACCCGAGTCCCTTCGTTTACACCCTCGGATCGGATCGCGTCTTTCTCCCAACGACCGTCTTTCTTGGACAACAACACCGCTTGAATCGTTGAATTGCTACTGTTCAGTTCATCTACAATGAAGACTGCTGTTCTTCTTTCCGCCTTGGCGGGCATTGGCGCCGTCTCGGCCACCCCTACCCTCAAGGAGCCTCCCAGCAAGCGTGCAAACCTCCCCACCGTCACGGTCTCGGGCAACGGTAAGCCCTACGATCCCATCAGATGCGCCAGTGACCCCTGAAGCCAAATGCCGCTAACACGCAAACCCCAGCTTTCTGGGCCGGCGATGAACGATTCTACCTTCGAGGCATTGACTATCAGCCTGGCGGTGCTTCCGCTAACAAGGACCCCTTGGCCGATACCAAGGTCTGCGAGCGCGATATTAAGAACTTCAAGGACCTTGGCGTCAATGTCATTCGTGTCTACGCCGTCGACAACACGGCCGACCACGATGAGTGCATGAAGGCGCTCAACGACGCTGGCATCTACCTCGTTCTGGATGTCAACAACCCCAAGTACTCCATCAACCGCGGCAACCCCGGTCCCTCTTACAACACCGCCTACCTCCAGAGCGTCTTTGCCACTGTCGAGATGTTTGCTCAGTACGACAACACCCTCGCTTTCTTCTCGGGCAACGAGGTCATCAACGATGAGGAGGATACCGACAAGTCCGCTCCCTATGTCAAGGCTGTCACTCGTGATATGAGAGCCTTCATGAAGGCCCGCAAGCTCCGCCAGGTCCCTGTCGGTTACTCGGCTGCCGATGTTGCACAGAACCGAATGCAGACTGCCCACTACTTCAACTGCGGCTCTGACGATTTGCGATCCGACTTCTTCGCCTTCAACGACTACTCTTGGTGCAACAGTGACTTCAAAACCGCTGGCTGGGATGTCAAGGTCAAGAACTTTACTGACTACGGTCTTCCCATCTTGTATGTTTCAAATTGCATGTTTCCCTGTTCTCTGCTAACATCTCCTTAGCCTGTCTGAGTATGGTTGCATCAAGAACCGTCCTCGTAAGTTTGAGGAGCTCGAGGCCCTGATGAGCGACGAGATGACCGGCGTCTACTCTGGTGGTCTCATGTATGAGTACTCGTACGAGGACAACGACTTTGGTATTGTCAAGATCAGCGGCAACACCGTCAAGACCACCGACGAGTACAAGCTCTTGAAGGAGGCTCTTAAGAACTACCCCCAGCCCACCGGCTCTGGCGGCGCTGCCAAGTCTACGCACGGTGTCGACTGCCCCGCCAAGGAGGATGTCTGGCAGGTTGACCCCGACCTTGTTCCCGAGATGCCCTCGCAAGCCGAGAAGTACTTTACCAACGGTGCTGGCAAGGGTCCCGGCTTCGACGGAAACAATAACAAGGGTTCCCACTTTGAGGTCGACAGCGGTACCGCGACCGCCAGTGTCAGCGCTGGCAAGTCCACTTCCACCAGCAGTGGTTCCGAGTCTACAGACGAGGACGACGACAGCGCCGCTTCCACCATGGACATGGCTCCTCTCTACATCACTGGCGCTGCCACCCTCTTCACCCTGTTCGGAACTCTTCTCCTGTAAACGAGAGAGTACTCCTTCTTCATTTTGTCTTCTTGCTTTAGTCTTTGGGATTTGCCGCAAACGCCATAGGCCAGGCCCCCATTGTGATTCATGACAGGTACAGCAACATGGATGCTGTGGAGGGACGCGCTGGACTAGATGCGCTGGACACGTCGGGTTCGTCTTTTTATTCCACGGGAGCATTGGCGTCTAGCCCAGGATGGGTAGACAGCCGGGAAATGATTATAATGCTGTCTGGGCCATAGTTGCCTTTTGTTTTTATAGTTGAAAATGATATCGAATAGACTTTCCTTGTGATCCGAGTCTGAGTGAGTGTGTCCATGATGGACGGCGTGCCATGTCATGATGAAAGTTGATAGGATAGGATCGAGTGGATATTGATCAACAGAGCATGTGAGCCAGCTTGAGCCCCGGAGCCATCAGGGGGTTAGTTTCGGTCCGGGGAAACGAGCCTCGGCATCTCCAAGTTGGTCCCATCCGCCACTTAGTTAACTTATATGCCCACCTGAGAGTCAAGTCTGTCTGACATGTAGTAAAACCCCGAATTGTCCTTTCTCAATTACATCTATACTCAATCATCTCATCATCATCTCTATTAAAATTGCTGCAGAGAGACGCCTCCAGTTCATCATGTCGTCCAACAGCCCCCTCCCCGCCTACGCCTCATATGAGCACATGCTCGTCAGCTCGCCGGCGCCCTTTGTCGCCCACGTCGAGATCAACCGCCCGCGCAAGCTCAACGCCTTTTCGCAGGCTGTGTGGCTCGAGTTTGGGCGTGTCTTTGAGCAGCTTAGCCACGATGCTGAAGTGCGCGCCGTCGTACTCAGCGGCGCAGGTGATCGCGCTTTCACCGCGGGCTTGGATGTGCAGGCGGCTACTTCAGATGGTGTCCTCAACGGGGGAGAGCAGGATGTTGCGAGAAAGGCAAAGGCTCTGAGGAGTCACATTGAGGAGTTTCAGGCATCTATCAGTGCTATGGAAAAGTGCGAGAAGCGTACGTGTCACAAATGTTGGAGTTGAGACAAGTACTGATGATGTGGTTTGTTCTTCTACAGCTGTAATCTGTGTCGTTCATGGTATATCTATTGGCCTCGCTATCGACATTGCCTGCTGCGCCGACATCCGCATCAGCGCTTCCAACACACGGTTCGCCGTCAAGGAGGTTGACATTGGCCTGGCCGCAGATATTGGCACCCTGGCGAGGCTCCCTAAGCTCGTGGGCTCGACGTCGTGGGTCAAGGACGTGTGCCTCACGGCGCGGGACTTTTCGGCGCAGGAGGCTCTGTCGGTGGGCTTCGTGAGCCAGGTTCACGAGGGCAAGGAGGCGGCTGTGCAGGCCGGGGTGGCTCTGGCGGCGACGCTGGCGAGCAAGAGCCCGGTCGCGGTGCAGGGGACAAAGGAGTTGCTGAACTACGGGCGCGATCACAGCGTTGACGAGAGTCTGCGGTATACAAAGGTGTGGAATGCGGCGGCTGTGCAGAGCAAGGACTTTTCACAGGCGCTGATGAGTGGTCTGAAGAAGACGAAACCGAGATTTGAGAAGCTGTAGAATATTCGAGTCTTGTAGAGGTATCGTGTTGGTGGTGTTTGGCTAGATCGTCGTCGTCGTCCGTGTTCGACGACTACTCGGAGCCGGACTCTTCCTCGGGAGGGAGGTTCTCCTTGAGACGCTGTGTGTTTGTTAGATAAAGATGATCACCAGCAAGGCGCAGTATGCTCTTAGCCAGAGTTGTTGGCGCTGGGCAGAGGCTTTGTAGGTAGACGCACATCTTCTAGTTTTGCCTTGAGCATGGAAACCATGTTTTCCTTGACCACGACGCGTTCATCGTCCAGATCCTCAATGATGTAATCGTGGTTCGTGCTGTCGATGCTAACAATGATGGACTTGATCGAAGGGTCGCATTCGATAAGAACGCCTAGAATCGCAAGGGGTATTGGTTAGCTTGAGGGGCAGTAGAATAAGCCAATTACGTGAATGGGCTGTACCTCTGATCGCGCGAGGCATGATGGGCTGTACTCGGCGGTGCAGAAAAGCGTAGGTCGGCGTCTGGGTTGGTTTGGGGTCGTATGAAGGAGGCGTATTCGCAGCGTCGAGAAGAGTTGAAATACGCTGAACACTCCCCGTTCACGTCGCGAGTTGAGTTGAGTGGAGCCTTGAATACGCACGGGCCAGGTTCAACTCAGCGCTAGCAGCAGTGGAGAAGCTTTCCAGATTCCCCAGAATGAGGAATCAAGTCACATTCCTCGTGATGACAGCTTCTCGTCAGCGCCTGCGCCTCGACAAAGCCACTCTCGAGAGAAGACGGTCGAACACGACGACCTGGAAGATGCCCGATGTCTCTAAAGGTCCAGGTATTCATGATAGTGTCTTGTGACAAATACGTGCAGAATAAACCTGAACTGCTCTAAACCTTGTGCCTTGCGCCGTTACGCTTTCCAGGTCAATGACAGGTGACAATCGTCTCCCCCGCGCTACAGTTGCATGCCGCAGAACCCGATTCGCGTCCACCAACACATGCCCAAAAGATCCAAGCCACGACTATGAAGTCACACAACGGGTCGGCCGGCTTTCTTAACTAAGGGGGAGGCGAAAAAGGAGCACAAGAACTACAAATGGACCGCTGCCCACCACCCTCTCAACCTTGATGTCGTGAACAGCTGATGACGTGAAGCTACGCAAGTCTCTGACGTTGTTGATTCATCCCGCTTTTATCGCTCCTCTTTCTTATTCTTTGATATCTATCTTGCAGACGACAAGGAAGTTCGTGAGAGGGCATCTTATCTACATATCACTGAGACATCACACGATCACGAGGCCTCAAGAGCTTCTACACTCTATAAGCTTATCACCGGCTGCTGGACTCTTAAAACCACCTACCTGTCTTGGATAACTTGGCCGAGTGAACACTACACGAATCATCACCCACATACAAAATGTCATCAAACGACAGCAACGACGACGACTTCTCCATCACTGATAGGCCCTTTGCCTGGGTAATCATTCCCCTAGCCGTCATCATCATAATCGGCTGCATCGCAACCTTTATCCATATGCGCCGACGCCGCCGCCGCCGTGTACAGCAATGGACCGGGCAAGGGCCCCGCGTGCTAGGCCCTCCTCCGGGACGTCTTTTCGGCGGAACTGGAACCCGGGGGAACGGGCGTCGTGGGCCGTGGGCCGGAACAAGATCTGATGAGGGTCTCAACGAGCTGGGAGAGGCGCCACCGCCGTACGACGGCAAGAAGGAGAGGCAGGATCCTGTCGAGCTGCGGGATCTGGAAGCTGGAGGCAGTCCGCCCGAGTATCCTGCCGTGCCGGGACCAGCTATGACAAGGGATAGTCGAAGGGGAGAGTGATGCTTTCATGATACCAATATGGGTCTTTTTTGTTAGGCGGGTCTGCTATTGGATACCTTTTGCTTGGTGTTTGGGTCTGGGCAGCGTTTCGATGATATCATTGATGCATTATGGGTTAACGGGTCTTGATAGAGCACCTATGAAGTGCATAGTATATGAATAGTCTGATTAATGTGAATATGGCCTTGTGAGCTAAGTTTTGGATGAACACCGTAAACGGCCTTCTGCTTGGTCCGGACATGATGTAGTGTATCCATAATGCAAGGGCTTTCGGAACTCTTGCGGCACGACTCGAACAAGCAAGAGTGTACGGAAATGGACAATCTCATCGGGTTTCTACTTGAATCAAGGCATCGGGTAAAGTGAGTTGTACGAGATCGCCGGTGCGACTTGAGATACAATGAAGCATCGGCTAGATACATGTTGACGGAGCATGTTGGAGCTTGTGAAGTGTTTAAAGGGACCCTTGCAGTAAACCGACTAAACACGGCAAAAAAGGAAGAGTGTAAAACTGTCCAGGGTCGCAGTAAAGGCCGCGGTAGTTGAAAGCCAGGGTGTGTGTGAGCTCATGGTGAACCTGATCTGTACTTTCAACCCATGACGAAAGTCTCACCACTCGACTCTCGAATCGACATCTTTACAGGCCTACCGACTTTGTAGCGGTGTGTTTGAAACAGAGGCCTCCCTCACTCTGCTGTTGCCGGGCATACGCGGAGGGGCGATGCTGCTCCTGCAGATAGAGAACGCCTCAGCGTCAGAGAGCTGAAAAGAAAAACACCCGTGGGTTGCTCGCTCACTGCTTGCTTCGAGGTGAGACAGGCAGAACGGGTGTTGTCTCAGAGGCGGGACTTCAGGGATGTCCCATGTCTTGGGGTGTGTCTCGCATGGTGCCGTGGTATGCTTCCCCCTCTCTGTTTGACTGGGGGGGAAAGAGGACCCATTTCTGATTGTTTGGCCGAGTTGCGAAAAATCGCATCTCGCAACAAAGCTGTAATTGTAAGCCTCACTTTGTTGAGCGTCGAACGGAGATTAAACCACCAGACGAGTAATAGTTGGTACCAGGGGAAAGAAATAATGTGGGAGGCTGGCCGGCTTTTCTTTTTCTGACCGTGTCACTCACACACTCAAGGGCTGATCCGTGATTGATTGACGTGTTTGCCAAGACCCTTGTACCTACGACGATACGAAAAGGAGGAGGTTGAACCCGAATGTGGGCTCAGTCCGACTAATTGAGTTTTTTTTTACTCTCTAACTATGCGAACATGAGAGAATCGGGGTTGGCAACTTGTTGAATAGAGCAAAGTGGACGAACTCCAGACAAGGCTAGGTTCTTTGTTAGCTTGACGGCATAGTCGGCGTCACACTAGGTTGGATGTTGTCGATGTTGCTGTTTCCAAAAGTTTCCTGGATACTTGTGACAATAGGGAGCAGTGTGCTGTTACTTGGTACATAGGTAAGTTCTAGTAGGAATTCAAACTCCTGGTATCAACTATGGAGTACAGAGTAATAGGAGCACCCAAAGCTGCCAAAGTCGAGGTTGAGACCTTCAGCCCTACAATCCACTTGTAAGGACTCGGAGGAAATTGAACCTTTTTGGACCCTTGGTGGAGGTAACTCAAAGAACCATTTTTAATCGAGTGATTGCGAAGCCCAATTGAACATGAGTGAGTGACAAGCAAAAAAGACAGGGTGTGTCTTCCCATGCTAATGCCCAAAGCGCATGCAGCAACTGTCACAGATGTCATGGATCCCATTTGATCTGAGCGCAAGGATTTGAGGCTCCTCACTCAGGTGATTTCTTGCCTCTCGCTCCGCTTCGTCTCCCGGGGCCACCACCAAGCGAGGCTTTTCCTCTTTCGGGTCCCGGACTCTGGGGCCGTGGCGCTGGGCCGAGGACGGGACAAAAAGATTTGACTGACCGGGGTGTTGAAGAAAGGACGAACATTCTTTTCACAAAGAGGCGCTTCTTGTTGATGAAGCGCTTCTGACAAGAGAGGGAAAAAAAAAACAATGCTGTCGGTTTCCTGGAGGCTGGGCCCATCAGTTCTGACCTGTCTGGGGTCAACCCTGCAACGAGGCAGACTGATGGGACGAATCCACGAGTTATTGTGCATGGCAGCCCAACGGTCATCGACCTTGGTCTTGTTCCTGTCGTCGAATAGAGACGGCTGGCTTGGCCGTCACCACCATGGCAACGGCAGACACTTTGACTTGCGGCTTGAATGTGATGTTCTGGCGGCAGCTCATACTCACCCACAGGCTGCTCTCATCCAAAGACTCTACTCGTCCCATTCATCACTCACATCGTCCCAACGAACGAACACCGTCAGGCCTCGTCTGCATGTGCGATGCACGTTCTGCTTGCTTCGCCTGCACCTCTGGGGTTCCTTCTCGTGTCGGCGACCGGCCATCCATTGGCAGAGAAACCACCATGGTCGGCCGGGCGGTAGCGCTCCTTGGCCCTCGGTGGCTCGTGGTGCTAGCACATCCGGAGGACGGGACCCCCGGCCGCCGGGCGCTATTGGACCAGCGCTCCGGCAGCGCCAGCTCATCACCCCCCCCTCTAGAACGCACTAGGGCCAGAGAATCCCCCATCCCGATTGCTTCCTCCCCCGCCGCTAGATCCATTTTCCATGGATGCTGCTGTGCTGTGATGTGCTGTGTGCGCTGTGATGTGCTGTGCGTGCTGTAGTTTGATGGAGCAAGGGAAATCGAGAAAGCTGAAGCTGAGGGGATAGCCACTAATCACTCGAGTCGGTTTGTTCAAGAGAATAAACAAAGCCCTGCCGAGATTTGGGCGTCCCGTCTTTCGACAAACTGCTTCCCGTCTCTTCCTTGACAAGACGGAGTCGACGACGGGCAAACCTAGAAGTGGTCATCGACACGACGACATCATCAATACCCAACTAAACAAGTAAAGACGGAACAACGGACAGCTTCCTTTCGATCTTCTCTCCTATTCCTCCGCTGCTAAAACCACGCACGACGTCGCAATCTGCAGTTCCCGTTTTTCCCAGCCTCCAAACTTCCACCTTGGGACCGAGTACCAACCTCCTCATCACCGTCAGGCCAGGGCGGTTAAACTTGTCTGCTGCACCCTAAATTGATTGCCTCCCTCTTTTTTTCAAACTTTCCCAAACAAGGCTTGCTCTGTTTTTTATTACTATTTTATTTTAATCCTTATTTCACTCGGGGCTGGGATTTGCATTGGATTTGCGGCTCGCTTCCGTCCGTCTGACTGGGTTGTACCTAAATTGCGCTGGTTGCTGCGGTTGCAACAAGTTGGCCCGCCCCCCCCAAGCCAAGCCAAGTCCCCAAGGACGGTTCAAGGCGACACCCACCCACCCACACCCTCCACCCGCGCCCACGCCGCATCCGAAACCCTTCCCCAAATCTTTCCCTTTCGCTCTCGATTAATCGCCCCAAGGCTTCCGCCTCCGAGAGTGAGAGCGAATATTGTAAGTTATCGACTGCTACGTGCAAAGGTCGAGTTTTGATTAATTTTTCCTACGGTTATCCGTCCTTGTGTAAGTCTATTCCACTCTGACTGCCCCCTCTTCATGAGTCGATTCACGTTCTGGTGGCGATTCATCGCTCTCCGCCATTGGCCTACACCGTTGCCTTTTGCTGGTGCCCGTCGCTCGCCCTAGCTTGAGAAATGCTGACCTCTCTTTCGTCTTTAGACACTTTTGCCCTGCGATTTCTTGACCGTCAAACATTCCGCATGTATTGAGAATCGAAAATCCATTAATCAACAACCCCCTGCGCCCCCTTCCGCCCCGAGAAGGCCCTTGGGTGATATTCTGCGTCCGCTCCGGATCGCAGGCCTGGGAAGAAAAGGGCTCCGACATTTCACCACCTCAATCACATCACCAGATCAACGATGGGCGTCACCTCGAGAAAACCTCTCCCACTCCCTGCCCCTACCGAAACCGAGACTACCAACACCACACCCACCGAGTTGACGACGGGGGATACGGGGGATGAGGTGAAGCCCGACGACGGCAAGTCTTCATACTCTATCCCTGAGGACGGAACTCCCGTCACCATCGCAACCCGACACAAGGCCAGCAAATCACAGACCTCGTTGCTCATCGAATACTTTGAGGGAGGCAAGCCTGCCTCTGGCTCCACCAGCGAGCGTCGTCCCAGTGTTCGTGTCCGCCTGACGCCATCCAAGAGAGGCCGTAACGACCACCATCTTCAAGTCACAGAGACCAAGGGCTCTCGCAACGCCTCCGTGACTCGACGGATACCTCTGGACCTTCATCACCTCGACTACGACGAGGACGGACACAGTATGAGCTCCTATGCTTCCGCCACCGAGGAGTCCAATGTCTCTAGGAACCCAATCGACATTGAGATTGATCGGAGCCATCGACGTCGGCGACCTGCCAGTCCTTTGATTCCTTCAGAGAGCTACACCGTCAACCCCTCAGAAATCTCCGCCATCCCATCAGACAGCTTCCTCGACGGCGAAGGCAAGGGCAGCTTGAACAGTCCTACTGGAACCCGCGATATGTCATCATCTGCCGTTGCCGTTGGCGCTGGTGCACTTGCAACCGCCGCTGTGGACGAGGTCAAGAGCCGCAAGAGTCGAAACAGAGACCGGTCAAAGGTGTCGTCGTCTGAAAAGTCGAGGGAAAAGTCGACGACGGCTGAGCGAAAGCGACGACCAAAGAGCAGAACCAGCAGCGTCACTGAGCGGACGGCCGAGGAACTTAAATCCCCCCGTCGTCGCTCTAGCAAGAGCCATCAGGAATCCGTTGTGTCAGGTGCGGATACGAGTGTCTTATCCTCTAATCTCTCTCCGAGCCACCGCACGTATGAGACACATTCCACACGCTCGGGCGCCTCCAAGGCCTCATCAATCAACAATCCTAAGCTCCTGGAGACGGTGGAAGACGCCATCCGTCGCCTGATTCTGCCCGAGCTTAGTGCGCTCAAGCGCGAGCAGAGCAAGAGAGAGGGTCGCCGCGATTCCTTTACGTCGTCTGGAACGTCTGTATCAAGGGATGAGTTTACCCCCGACCGCCGGCGGTCCTCGGGTCAGCGCAGCGACATCAAGGCTGGGCGCAATAGGGAGGCCCGTCATGAGCTCGACGACAACTCTCTCATCAGCAATGAATCGATTGATCAGTATGATGAGCACGTTACACCGAAGCGCAGCGGCGACCTGCTCAAGTCTGCTGCTATTGGTGCCGCTGCTGCCTCCGCCATTACTGCCACCTCCTCACTGCTGGATGACAAGTCCCAAACTTCAGACCTGAAGCCGAGAGAGCGGAGGCGTCGCAAGGCTGAGGCTGCCCGTAGCCGAAGCATGGGACGTGACCGATATTCTGGCGACTATGACGACGCTCCTGTGCCCCCGATGCCTCTTATGAGCGAAATCAACGGCACGGAACTGACCCGGACCTCCATTCGCTCCGCCGACACAGATAGGCCTCACTCAGCCACCGAGGAGATCACTCCTCTTCAAAACGTTTCTCATGTGGACGGTTCTGATTCTGACATGCCAACACCAACACGATCTCCCAATCTCGAGAGCACCCTTTCTACTCAGCATGCCAATGTTTCTCATGGTGACCTGACTGCTCTACCGCGCGGGAAGAAGGAGTACATCGACGAGTATGAGACTGACGAATATGGAAACAAGGTTCCCATTGAACATGGTGACCAGTATGGCGAGGATGATGGTGACGACATTTCTGACGTGGGCGAGTTTGAGGGCTACGACAACTCCTACTTTGCTACTCAGGATGTTCCTCCACCTCTGAAGTATGTGCCGTACCAAGCAGGTGCCCGCGGTCTGAGCCCGATTCCTAGCGTCTCTGGCTACACCGAAGCTGGCAGCGAACACCAGCCTCGCAACTCTAGGAGCATGCACTCGACTAGTGACGCCTACTATGAACGATCCGAGAACCCCCGCAACAGTCGTTCTACTGCTTCTCTGAGCTCCATTCGTGCTAGGGAGCTTGAACAGATGTCTCCTCGAAGCTCTGGAATGGACTACCGGAACACGACCTATACCGACGACTCGGGTTACAACCGCAACACCACTTACACCGACGACAGCGAGCTGGAGAAGGTCACATCTGGACAGGCGGTGCAGGGCGTTGGTGCCACCAACCCCAACATTGTCCACCCCCCTCTGGGAGTCGAGTCTGCCGTTGCCTCCCTGGTTGACGGCTCGATGCTTGATCAGTCTGTCCTTACCGGCGCCTCATACAACGACTACAACGGTGGCCGAGATTCGACACTCTCTTATGATGAGCAGTCAAGAACTTACAGCAGCCGTGGATTGAGCCCTGGTGAGCGATACGACAACCAGAGCGAGTCTTCCAGACACGCTACACCCAGCGCAGTCTCTCGCAACAGATCACCCCGAGAGTTTACCGAGTATGAGCTCGATGAGCATGGCCGCAAGGTTGTCCGACCCAAGTCCCCCACCGCTGCCGAGGTGGCCATCACATCTGGAGCTGTCCTGGCCCTGAAGGCCGCTCAAGGCAAGAAGCAGGCGGCTGCCGAGGGATCTGCACAGGGAGAGTTCCAACCCGCTGGTGTGGCCCGAAACAAGTCCTTTAAGGAGCGCACGCTTGAGGGTCACGAGCCCCGCAACACACCCGCCCACAGCATCGACCGTCTGTCCTACGAGGAGCTTCCCAAGATGAGCGCAACTGGTGTTCCTGACTTCCACGACCCCATGCCTGAGGTTGGGTACGTTGACGATGATGCTCTCACCAACCCCTCGATCGTTCAAGAGCGCCTGGATGGCGAGGACCGAGGCCATCTCTCATCTGGCCGAGCAACTCCTACCCCACTGAATGTTGGCGAGCAACAAGAGGCCCGCAGCAAGAGTGCGGCCAGCAGCCACGGCACAGGGGCTGGAGAGCTTGCTGGTGCGGCTGCTCTTGGCGCTGCCGCCGGAATGGCTGCCGGCCACGGTCATAGCCGCGAGCCCAGCCATGACCACGATGAATGGCGATCTTCCGATGACCGCAAGCGGGATACTCTCGTGACGAACCCCTACGAGGACGCCAGCCCGATTGCAAACCCTGCTCTGAACGAGAACCTTCTCGGTTCCCGTGGTCTCAATGCCTCGTATGGAGCCCCTTACCATACTGGAAGCCCTGGATTTGGCCCCAAGTATGACGAGGGATACATGTCTAACGGCAACAACAGGACCCCCGATCTCCCTCCCAAGATCAAGCCTCTGTCTATTCCTGGATCTCCCCACCTTGGTGACGACGTCTTCTATGCCCCTATGGCCAAGGACGCTCGCCATCTCAGCGGCATGTCCCAAGGCATGGCATCTCCCTTTTACGATGCTGCTACTGGTCAGGGCATTGACCGCATCGAGAACAAGGACATTGTCGCTCTTATGCAACATCTCATGGTCCGTGATGCCCAGCGCAGTGCTCGCGATACCGAGATCGTGGCCCTGCTCATGAACTCTGCTCTGGAGATGCGAACTTCTCTTAACGAGTTGAAGAACCTCGTCCAGGACACCAGCGATGATGTCATCTTTGCTGGTGTTGAGAACACGGAGAAGCTCCAGAGGGCCATCAATGGCCCACGCCCCTACCCTGGCCCTCGTTCAATTCAGAGCAGCTCTCAGCTCGACACTCTCAACGAGGCAGCTGCCAAGAAGAACCTCTTCAAGCGTGCCCTTCAAGGCCTCAGCAACAAGGGAACCAGTGATTTCAAGCGCATTGAGGAGATTCTTATCCAGATTCTCGGTGAAGTGGACGTTCTCAAGACCCAGACAGCCCCGCCTGTTTCTACTGCTGGTGGGCGCGGCTCTTCGTTCGATAACCTGCACCCTGAGGGTCACTATGAGCAGGACCGAGGCTATGAGCCGGAAGGCAACTCGACCATCACCCCCAGCCAGTCAGGCCACCTCTCTCTGTCTCAGTCACGATCCCGACTTGGAGGTGATCGCAAGGTCTCTGACAACCGCATCAGCACCGTCGCTGAGCACGAGGGCGAGTACGAGTTCGATCACCCCAGCCCAGCTGCTGAGCGGACCAACAGCAACGTCTTGACACCAAGCCGCTCGGGCTTCCGCGGTAGCTCTGTCCCTCTCGAGACGCCACCTCAACCCCCAGTAGGTGCTCAACCCATGAGCAACGACAACACTCCTCGCACCGACAAGTCGAAGAAGCACAAGTCTGGTGGCTCGACAAGCTGGCTGCCCAAGTTTTCTCGATGGTCAGGAACCACAGCCTCCAGCATGGGCAAGGCTTTCCGAGGCAAGAAAGACAAGTATGACGACTTTGCCCATTCGCGATCTGCGTCCAGCCTTGGCTCGTACGACGAGGATGGCTACCGCACCAACGCCTACGGCGAGGACAGGCTTCACACCGGACTCTCGGATCAGGAGCTCGCAGCAGCACCCACTGCCAGCGGAGCTAACCCTGCGGTTACTCTGCGTGAGAGAACCATGTCCCCTGGGGATGCTCCCAAGTACAAGGTTCATCGAAACTCGTTGAACCTGCAGCACCCCCAGCCCAGACAGGGCCAGACCGAGCGTTTCCGAAACGCCTTGGAGTTCTCGGCTCAAGAGTACAATGTCCCCATGACCCCTAGGTCGGCGGACTGGGGCGGCTCAGTATCCAGCTTGAACCAGGTTGGACAGAACCCCAACAGATACAGCATGGCGTCTTCTGGAGGCGGACCACGGGACCCAGAGTACTGGACCACCTCCCCAACTGGTCCCCCTAGGCCTCCCAAGGAGCCCATTGAGCCTACCGCCAGCCCCTCAGGCCAAAACGTGCCGCGAGGCGCCCGCCTTTCACAGCTGGCCAAGAGCAGCCCTGTGCCACACCCCAGCGACGAGAGCGGATATGGGACGATGAGCGGGACTCATGTCAGTCACTACACCAGCAGCCCCAAGCCCGAGAACCGCAACCTGAACGCGGCTCTGGGAGCTCCCGCTCGACGACCTAGCGGGCCGCGAGCCATGACCCCCAAGAGCCCTGAGCAAGAAGCGCAGCGACGCAAGAGAGGTATGTTCAAGAAGCATCTGATTTGACGAACCCCAACTAACTGTTTGACTAGACACCTTTGGTAGTGTTACCTCGCGCAACACTGATGACACCGAAACCTTTTAAAGGAGTTGTCTGAACCAAATTTCCCAGCTGTTTTCGGATCAAGAATGAAGCAACCACCAACTTCTCGACACAGCTTTTGAATCTACATATTGGGGTTTGACAGGACATGGCTGTCAGACGAATGGTTTTACAAAGAAAAGACTCGCCTATAGACTGAAGGAGGATGACCAGCCGAAGGAGAGGCGGGCAACTCTGATCACATAATGACTGATAAGCATATTGGGTGTTGGAAAATACGAAAAAAAAGAAGGGGAAAAGCGATGGGAGGAGGAGGATCATCGATCGGATTTTGCATCAAGGGGCTTCTGCTTCAATTCTTGACGACGACATGACTTGGCTGTCTGGTTTCAGCAAAGCGATTGCTTTACGCGGGGGCATTTGGACTGGATATTTTTTATGAGCAAGGAAAGGAATAGGCAAGGCAATGTATGGAAGGGGGGATGGGAGGAAGATGAGTATCTCGCGAGCGTGTGTTGGGTTTGATGTGTGCTTGGTGCACTCTTCAAGTTAGATAGGTTTAGCTGTAGTTTTTGTGTTAGATACCACACGGGTTGTAATTGGGGACGAATGAGAAGGGGATTGAATTGATAAGGGAGATTCTGATGATGAACTGAGTGTGTTTTATTGAATGTGATGTACAAGATGGAAGCAACCTCTAGGCATATCTGTAGATGTAGAGGTAGAGGTGGACAGTTGACGATGGTGTTGAGAGTGTGGATCATCAGTCTGGGGCTAAAAGTGGATCTCCGGGGAGACTTGCATAACTCCGGGGCTCCGAGGTCGGTGCAAGGCTACTAGTGCGGAACTACTCCAGACGTGGGCGTCAGCGAATGGCAGGGAGCCAATATCCAAAAAAAATCCATGAAAAAGGGCTCGACGTGCAGTTTATCATCAAACAGCGGTATCCGTCTGTATCTGTTGATTCTCATAATATTCTAGACTTGTCTATACTTGGGCATCCATTATTTGTGTTTTGTCTTATCTTTATCACCTGCTCTTCTTGGATACTCCTTTCCTCAACGTCATAGACGCCCCGCCATCGGCTTTTATCGGCATCACTCAAATTATCGACGCTGACAGAAAGAGATATCTCATCTTTTGGACTCACTCAAGAGTCGCTCAGATTCAATGGCTGCGGATGTAAGAGGGAAGGTTGCCGTGGAGGAGACGGAAGCTTCTGTACCGAAGCAGGAGAACAAGGCGCAACACTACAAAGGCTTTGTAGCGGGCGTCTTCAGTGGCATAGCCAAGCTCACAGGTAAGAAGAGCAACTTTTGAGTTTTTCATGAGAGGTATGTGCTGATTAAGTTTAGTTGGTCATCCATTTGATACAGTCAAGGTCCGTCTACAGACAACGGACCCGACTCGCTTCAAAGGACCTCTACAGTGTGTTCTTCAGACAGTTCGCAATGAGGGCTTCCGAGGGCTGTACAAGGGCGCGTCACCGCCGTTGGTAGGATGGATGTTTATGGACTCGGTCATGCTGGGCTCGTTGACGGTGTACCGTCGACTTCTATCCGATCACGTCTTTCACGTACAGCCGGGCTCTACCACAGGGAGGACGTCACTTCCGTCATACGGACACGGCATTGCGGGTATCGCGGCGGGCTCGACGGTCAGCTTCATCGCGGCGCCTGTCGAACACATCAAGGCGCGACTGCAGATTCAGTACGCTGCTCAAAAGGCCGACAGACTGTACGCGGGACCCATCGACTGTCTCCGCAAGATTTATCGATATCATGGAGTTCAGGGCGTGTATCACGGACTATCAGCGACGCTGTTCTTCCGGTCATTCTTCTTCTTCTGGTGGGCCAGCTACGACGTTCTCTCACGGATATTAAGGGAACGAACAAACCTCAGCGCACCAGCCGTCAACTTTTGGGCAGGTGGATTAAGCGCGCAGGCTTTCTGGCTGACGAGTTACCCGAGCGACGTGGTCAAGCAACGTATCATGACGGACCCCCTAGGCGGTGGTTTGAATGATGGAGTTAGGAGGTTCCCAAGGTGGAAGGATGCCGCGAAGGCTGTGTATAGGGAGGCAGGGTGGAAGGGATACTGGAGGGGGTTTGTGCCGTGCTTTTTGAGAGCGTTTCCGGCGAATGCCATGGCGTTGGTTGCATTTGAGGGTGTCATGAGGGCATTGCCATGAGTTTACACATACATATACATAAGTACATACCCCTGACGAGAAGATTTCAGGTCACAAGCGATCATTTATCACAGCATCACTCATTCACATACAACAGACGAGAAAAGAAGTTGAAACACCACAAAGAGTGCCACACAGATTGGCTGGGGTTCTATTGGCCAAGTCCTCAAACTTTTTATGTTTCCCTGTCCCAATTCACCAACCCATTCCTGCGCCGTTGTAATGCTGACCGGGGTTTCTTTGGTTTGATTTGACACCGATTTACTCGTCGTCCTCGTCAGCCTCGTCGTTGACGACGTTGAAGAACTTGAGCTCGTAGACACCCCGCGAGGTGGAGACGACGCGGAGCCAGTCACGGAGCTGCTGCTTCTTGAGGAACTTCTTGGTCCTGGGGAGAATGTCAGTAACTTGTCAAGAATGTATAGAACTGGGAGAACGCACAGGTACTTGAGGTAGCGGCCAGAGAGGTCGTTGTGGGCAATAATCTCAATCTTGCCCTCACCCTGCTGCTGGACAACAACGTTGTCGCCAAGGTTGTTGGTGCGGCCCTCAACCTTGATGCGGTCCTGGAGGAACTTCTCAAAGGCGGCGACGTCGAAGATCTTGTCGCTGGCGGGCTGAGAAGCATCAATGATGTACTGTGGCGATACATGTTAGTCTCGTGTGATTCGATAAAAGTATTGTTCGATCTTTGAATTCTTCGTCGGGTCGTCGCCATCGTTTATCGCCCGGCGCATCTTCGTCAAGGGGATCGGGATCGTTTTTCAGCGTACCTTCTTGGTCTGCTTCTGGGCCTTGCCCGACTTCTTCTGTTAAGATGACCTTAGCCTACTGCAATTTCGAGGCGCCTCTCATGCTGAGAAGAAGAGCGACATGGAGGGTTTCATCCCAGAGTCGCTTTCTCCCGCAGAGGGCCTTACAGCAAAGCGATGTCATGTACATACTGCCTGAGGAGCCATTGTGAATGGGTTGTTTTTGGGGGTTTGGGTTGGTGGTGTTTCGTGTGTCGCAAAGAAGTCGAATCCTGCGCCTGAGAGAGAGGGAAAAATACGTTTGGGGCTTCGGGAGGGTTAGTCGTCACTCTAGAGCCGCGGGATTGGGGATGCGATTTTTCCTGGTGGGGTGGGCAAAATTGGTGGAGAGGGCTTTGGCCCTGATTACATAAGACTAGAAAACAGAACGGGAGTGGCTGTTTCAGGTCGCAAAACTGCGCACAGACCACCAGGGGTCAGGTCGGTTGAGGTGAGAAGGTGTAGCAGCCAATCAAATGTCTTGAAAAGTAGTCAAGGTGGGCGAGTCGACAGGTGCCCACTGCCAAGACTGGTCAGGAGCTCTATTCAACGAGCGAACCCAGGACATGCTCCATCTATTTTGATATATTCATTGGCCGTTCTCAGTGGAGCATGGGCCAGCTCTTCTTCCATTTCATTGCGTAACTGCATCACAAGCCTGGAATTCACCCCAATTGAAAGTCTGAGGATGCGGGTCAGCCATATCTCCAACAGCCTCCGTTGATGACCAAATGATGTCTGGTCTTGAATCTGGCCGGTGATGATTCATGACCAGCCCAAACTTCGCTATGTAAGTATCGACCTTGATAGAGGCAGTTTCAGTTTAGTGTCAGAGACAACTCAGGACGTGGTTTCGAGCGAACCTGACCCATGGTGGTCTGTGCTCACATAATATAGAGCCATGATTGGCTAGAAAACACACTATCTTGTCATGGCCTGTGCAGACTTGACCCATGCTCCGCTTTAATTTGGAGACTTGATTGGCCACACAATACACTTACGCAGCATCATCACATCAAGACAACATCAAAAGCACACTCCTTTCAAGAGCAAAATGTATTATCCTAGCCGAACTAAGGCTAAGAAGTAACTCAACACTTTTCCAAGTCCCGATACCTTTTCTCTTTCCCAAGCAGTGCAACCACTCGTTGGCAATGCAGTTCAGCTCTATCGTAAAATAGAGAAACTCAAGCTAGACAGCTCAAGATCGCTTTGGCTGGTCCTATAATCTTCTCAGTCAAATTCACTCATGTTGAGAAAAGGGTTATCTTACCGTGACCTTGAAGACCTTGTCCAGGTCTTCGACAATGTCGGCAGCGAGGATCTCGCGGTACTTGAGGTACAACTCGCGAAGACGCTCACGCTGCTCCTTGGAGATCTTGGCCTGATCCTTCAGGCCGCTCTTCGTCTCAGAACGCTTAGTGTACTGGTAGCCGATCCTGCCGTGCGTGCCAGGAACGAGGCCGATCTTCTTGAAGGGGTTTCCCTTGTGCTTGTACTGCTTGGACCTATTCCTGGAGAGGCCGAGGCCGTTGGCGACCTCGTCGCTGACGTTATCGTACAGCTTGTTCTCGTACTCCTCGTAGTCTTCCTCTGAGGGCTCTCGGCGGGGGACGGGCACACTCCTGATGCCGTAGATTCTACCGTCGTCCGCAGCACCGCCATAAATAATGCCGCGTGTGGGTTCATCCCAGTCGAGCTCCTCATAGGCCTGCTCCTTCTTATAGGCCTTCTCCTTCTTATAGTCTGGGAAGGTGATCTTGCGGACCTTGGAGCCTCCATCGGTGGTGCTGCTGCCTTGGGGGATGGATTCGATGCGGTCGATACGACCGTCCTTGCCAGTGGTGGTGGTGCCAGTCTTGCCAGTGCTGCCGCCGCTGTTGGACTTGGTGTTGGATTTGTTGTCGGCCACGCGGAACTGGCGGTCGACAGTCTGACGAAGGACAAAGACCTTGCCGTCGTTGTTGTTGGTGTTGCTGCGCTGGATCAACCTTCGGCCTCCGCCACCACCAGCGGCACCAGTTCCAGCAGCCTGGTTGGTAGTGGTAGTAGTAGTGGTCGTAGTGGTGGTGGTGGTGCTAGTCGAAGGGGGAGACAGAGTGGTGACAATGGTGCTTCCAGCAGCATTGGTGTAGGTGACTACAACAGGGGTGCTGGAGGTAGAAGACGTGGTGGTGGTGGAGGAAGAAGTAGTTGTGGCCGCGGTAGGGGTGAGGAAGGCACTGGTTTCAGTGCTACCATCAGCAACCTTCTTCTTACAGGGGGTAGCCAGGACGCCCTGGGCGAGGGCGAGCAGAGCAAGCTCGAAACGCATCTTGGGCAAGATGAGGAAGAGAGGAGAGGGGAAGGGGGCAGAAGACGACTTGTGAGGACGAGTTCTGGAGGGAGTCTGTCGAGTCTGCTTAAACAGATCTGAGAGGAAAGGACACGCTCTTTATGCTTGTCTTGAGAAGCCAAATGCTAAACAATGGACTCATTAATCATGGTTTCTCCTCCTCCGAGTGAGGCCGGCTGGCTTTGATGTCATGATGCTCAACAAGACCACTTGTCCTTCGAGTTGAGGCCACGGTGTAGTTGAAAGGATGTCGATACATCAATTGAGAACCAAGAGGCCGCCCAGGTATGGTATTGCCGTCAGAGGAGAATGATAGAGTTTACAGTGTTCGGCTATACATGTTCTCAACACCACATCTGGTCAATGACAAGTATCGCGAGGTATTCACTTTAGCCACGCCGTTACTTCAACGCAATGGACACCTATTCAAAGGCAACAAGACAGATAAATTAGGTTATGCGGACTCGATCAATATGCAGCAAAATCTCTCAATCTGCCCGCCTTCGCAAATGCAAACATCATTCAACCTGCAACAGTTCTGTCGTGATCCCAGGTAACAAATACAAAAACACCATCTCAACAAACTCGTTCCTATCGTCACACATGATACAATGGTTGCTCATCATGAAAAAAATACAACGCAGCCAGTCGCGCCCCGCGCTCATTAGCCAAACAGCTTCTTGAATGCACCCTTGATGCCTCCTGGCTTCTTTTTCTCCTCCTCCTTGGCTTGCGCCTTGCGCCGCTCCTCATGTCGAGCTTTGCGTCGCGAGTCCTCCGTGTCCATCCTGACGTGCCTGGATGGACGGGCATCTCGGTCTCGGGGAGATTCAGGTGCTGGTTCATCGCGTGTACGACGCGATCGAGGGCGTGCTTCATCCATCGACTCCCGAGGACGTCTGTACTTGGACCTCGTCCGCTTGGGCTCTTCAACAGGAGGAGACTCCTTCGCTCGTTCTCTGATTGGTTCCGCCACAGCAGGCTCCTCGCGTGCAGGCGGCGGGTTATCTGAAGTCTTGATGCCGAAGAACCTCCTCCTAGGCGCAGGTGCAGGCGCAACCGACTCCTCTCGCTCAGCTGTTGAGGGGCGGTCCCTAATGTCGTCAGGCCGAGGTCGCCCAGAGTGGCTGTGTCTCCGCGAGCGACGATGTCTCCGCTCCGGCTCGGCCTCTGGTTCCTTGCCCTTGGCTTCCTTAACCTCCTGAGCCTCGCGGGGAGATTCTCGGAGGCGTGAAGGCTCACGCGTCCGCTCGGGTTCCTTCTCCTTTGCGCGCCGCTCTGCCCGCTCCGCTTTTCGTTTGTCGTGGGCCGCCTGTTCATCAGGCGTGCGGCGTCTGCGGCCAGAGCTACCAGAACTGCCTTCGGCCGAGAATCCACTGTCTCGTCTGGGAGTTCTGGGAGGCGTGCCCGTGCCCGTGCCCGTGCCCGGGGTGCCTGACCCGGCACTATCGGGTCTATAGCGGCGGTGAGAATGGGCACCGTGCGATGATCGCCTCGTACGCTCTCGTGGCTCCTCTTCACGGGGCGGAGCACGAGACGAAGGCTCCTCGACGGGAGCACGGGAACCACGCGATCGTGGCTCCTCCTCCCGGCGATAGCTACGGGGTTTGGGCTCTTCAGCATCTCGTGAGCTCCGGACCCTAGCCTCGCCTTCACCGCGTGATCCACGAGATCGTGGTTCTTCGTCATCACGGTGTCTGCGAGAAGATCGACCCTCTTCATCCCGATGATGAGACCTGCGACGGCGCCGACCCTCATCTTCATCCCGAGACCGGTGGGCTCTCTTTTCGTCCTCACCACGGCTCGATCTGCGTTCTTTGCCCTCCTCGTCACGGCTCCTGCTGGAGTGGTGCGAGCGGTGCGAGCGTCGGCGCCTGTGATGTCTGTCTCTGTCTCTATCGCTGCGAGACGAGTCAGATTCTCTGCTCCTGTCGTCTGCAAACCAGTCAGCATCGGACGTGTAGAGTTCCTCGAGCGCATCCTCGAAGCTCCTCCGTGGTGATGAAGAAACTGGGAAGTAGGAGTTCTCGGGATCCGCTGTCATCTGATGTTCCAGATTAGGTAGGTATGCATCATCATCAACATATTCTTCTTCTTCTTCTTCTTGATGCTGTCTGAGCAGCGGTGGGGGGCTGCTGGGAGGGCTCAGCGCCTCGGCGGCCGCATAGATGACTACCGCGGCAGCTACAGTGTCCTCTGCTCGCTTGATAGACATCTTGCGCTTCCGCCGGAGGGTATGGGCTCGCTGTAAGTCGATCATATCTGTGTCAGGTATCACGATGCCAGGGGTTGGAGGCCTTATGCCTTCATGCTCGGTGGGTGAGGGACCTGAGTGAACAACATCTCTCCTCAGTCCCTCCTCAATGGTAGTGGCAGGATGCCTGAGCTCTGGCCGCACAGGAACAGGGGCCATTGTCGACTCGCCTTCGGCCTGGAAAGAACGAAGTCTGGTTGCTCCTGGTGCGGCCGCTCTTGAAGATGCGCCTTGGATCTCGAGGGAGCGAGGCCTGGGGACCACCTGCACAGCAGCTCTTGGCGATTCGCCCTTAGCGTCGAGAGAGCGAGGCCTTTGGGCTCTGTGTGCCGCTGCTCTTGATGACTCGCCCTGGGTCTCGAAGGTACGGTGCCTAAGCATAGGACGCACCGGCGTTCTGGACGATTCGCCTTCGACCTGTAGTGGAAAGGGTCGCGGCACAGGTCTGGCTTCAGATACCCGGCTGGTAACGGGCATGAAGATGGGGTCCTTTGTGTAGATCTCAGTACCAGGGCGTATCCTCAGCGACCTTCGAGGCCGTTGCTGCTGCGTCAAGAACGTTCGGGGGGGCTCGGTGCGAGAAGGTCTTATAACCGGCCGTTCACCCTTTGCCTCTCGGGCGGCAGCAAGCCCAGAAGCTACGGCTGCACCCGCCGCGAGGCCTGATCGGACGGGGCTCGGCCTCTTGGGACTGTCTCGTGTAACCTCGACTGCTTTGCCCTTGTCTCGCGGGGGGATTTGTACCACCCTCGGCGGCGTGGATGCTTCGGATTGAAGTAGCTCCATCGGCTTTGCCTCATGTTCCGTAGCAATCTCGGAGCTTGGGGATGTTGGCTGTAGCTCCGCCGCCTCTCTTGGCTTGGCCTCAGGGGTTGGCTCCTGGTCCGAGTCTTCATCGTCATCCATATCACGAGTATCGACACCGGGCAGTGTGTTGTGCTCACCAACATCTTGTTGAGGCTGCATCGAATGCAGAGAACGGCTTTCTGGGTAAGGATCTTCAACCGCAGTGTTGTATTCCTCGTCCTCTGAGCAGCTGCTGCTGTCCCACTCAGGTTCATGAGCTTGAGAAGGTTGGGTCACAAGTTCGGGTGCCAGAGCAGCTGGTGCTGGTACCGGTGCTACGCCATCCACCACGGTGAAGGGAGCAGCTGATGGGAGATCTCGAGTCTGAGACGGTCTTTCGGTATGAGGCTCGTGTTCAGAGTCGCTTTCGTCATCAGATGGTATCGCTTGCACGGGTTTAACCTCAGCCTCAGCTCCTACAGGCCCGGGTAGAGACCTGTCGCTCGTCTGTGTGGAGTCCTGGCGGCCCTGATGCCCAGGTGCCGGGGCATCAGATGGGCCAACGACGACGAAGTCTGATTCGTCATCCGAGTCTTCAGACTCGCTGAGAGCGCCTCTTGGAGCAACACCATCAGCCGTGTCAAGACCAGCAACATCTGAATCCATGTCGCCTTTGGCCTTTGTGGGGCTTAACGGTTCGACGGTTGGTAGCTCCTCTGAGAGATCTAGCTTATCATGCGCCGCCTCGATGATGGTGTCGGGCGATGAAGACCTCGACAGGCCTCCTGCCTCGTCAAGGCCCAGCAAAGACCTTCTCTCAAAGCCGCCTGTGGGCTCAAAATGGGCTGGGCTGAGCATCGCAACTGGCGAATCGCGATAAAACAGAGGTGAAGGTGACTCGTCGCCAGCTAGTGCCCTCTCTCGGAGATCACGAGCTGGTGTTTTGGGGGAAACTGGCCCAGACACATGGTCATCGTGGTCAGAATCCTCCTCGTCAACAGGTCCATCCGCAACCGATTCCAAGAGCTCAAGCAGAAGGGATTGGATCTCGTCGCTCGAATCGGAACCACCATCATCCTCCTCATCCTCAAGAGTATGAGAAGAGGGCTCGAGCTCTGGAGAACTCGCCTGGCGAGGTCGGGGGGTCTCTCGTGCGTCTTGTGGAATGATGACGTGGAGGGTCCTGGAGGTTGGTGACGGAGGCTCAGAGTCAGAAGCGTGCGATTTAACATCAGATCCCTCTTCTGAGGTAACTGCCGCTGTTACATCGATGGCTTTCTGGACCGGAGCCTCTTCTCCAACAGTGTCAAGCTCATCCTTCTCCAGGCTCAAGTCACCCTGCGTGGATGCAGCAGGTGGCACAGGAGCTCCGGTTTCGTCCTCTTCAAAGTCCTCATTGGGAGGCAGCTCTGGAATGCCAGGGGCAGGGGAAATCTTCGATGCCGGGCTCAATTCAGTGTCATGAAGCTCATCAGTTACTGGAAGAGGTTCCTGGGGCCCTACAGTCCGAGCAACGACATCAAGAGTTGGAGATCCGGGCATTTCGTGATCTTTCAGCTCTGGCACGTAAAGGTCCTCGGCTGTTTGAGTATCTCCCAGATATTCACTCTCAGAAATCGGCAGGGTAGTAGCTTCTTGATGGCTAGTAGGCGAGACAGGACGGCTCATGGGCTCGGCTTCAGCAGCGGCTCGAGAAGCGATCTCTGCTACTTCAGCCTCGCCTGGAGAAGAATCCGATAGATGAACAGAAGTTGAGCGCGGCTCAGAGCCGGGGGCTTGTCCATCACCAGCGACAACACCTTCGATGCCGGCAACTGGAGTAGAAGCTCTAGAGGAATGGATTGACTCAGAAAGCACATAGGGTGAAGGGGCAACGGGCTCAGTCGCCGGCTCCGTGGGGCTTGAAGGGCTCAGCACTCCTGCATCACGAGTCTCGGTTTCGTGTGGCTCGTCATTCTCCGACTCAGAATCCGATTCCCCAGGTTCGGAAGAAGCTGTAGCTTTCTCGAGCTCAGGTATGACATCGTTTTGTTGGCTAGCCTTCTCTTCACCCTCAACTTCTTCCGACGTAAGCTCGGTATGGGCTACTGGAAACGACCTATCTTCATGAGAAGATTTGTCGTCGTCATGTGCGCCAAGATCCAAGATGCCACGGTCTCCAGGGGTGCTTTCAGGTGATGCAGGCCTGGAGGCAATAGTCTGCTGCTCGAGATCGAAAGCTTCGGCGTCTCTGGTGCTAAGGACGTCTTCGTCGGCTTCAGAGACTGTTGAGGCGGTCGGGGAGTGTGGTAGGTTCTTGGGGTGGGACACTCCCTCAGTGGCGTCAACTGTCATATCTGGGGAACTGGCCCGGGAAATGGGCTCCAGTTGCTCTGGTCGCTGACCGGGAGCTTCTTCCGTTGGTTCAAGGTGTCTCGGTTCCTCCATGTCGGTGCCACTGAGAGAAGGAGAGCGCGAGAGAGCATCCACGGGTGGCAGTGCGTCATCATCCTTCTCCTCGGGCTTCGACAAAGAGGCCAGCGGTTCCTGGACCTCTTGATCTGTGCCCTTGGCATCGGGAGATAGACCTTCAGTTGTTTGCTGCCCTTCCTCTCGCTTGTCGTCGAACACAACTGGCTCTTCGGACTGAGACCCTACGGCTGGCGGCGACAACTCAGGCTCTGTGGAACCTGGCTTGAAGTCGTCATCGATGGCTTCAGTCTTCTCAGGCTCCAGATGCAAAAGTGCGCGGTCTTGCGGTATGTCTCCTGGCGTCTGTAGTAGGTTCTCGAAATCAGTGTCGAGAATTTTGGGCTCGTCCACTGTGGTATCAGTGGTCGGGAGAGCTTGCAACAGTCCCAGCATGGACACTTCCTGTGTTGGTTCTAGAGGTGCTGTTCTCTCAACTTGAGGTCCAATTTCGGCAGGTTTTGTTTCCTCTTCGAGTCGAACTCCAAGAGAGACGGGATCCTGAGCCTCCTCCTTGCCAGTCACCTGCTGTTCCTCTTCCGAACCAGAGTCGGGAACATTGGCGCTTGCAGAGGCCGCAGCTTGAGTGTCCGAGTCTTGCGCAGCCTCCGGTGATATCGCTTGTCGGTCGATAATTTCGGGATCGGAAGTGTCGGTTGTCCCGGATTTCGCAGCAACCACATCAACGGGGCTTGAAGGTCGACCGGCAGTTTCAGAGAGTGGTACCGGTCCCTCCGCCTCTGAGTCTGCTTTCTCAGCCTCTTCAGTTTGCATGCTGACAGCTGTAGATGGGCGAGAGACGTCAGGGAGGTTTGCCGCGTCTCCTTCTACTTCGAGGTCAGAAACACCAATCTTGGGCATCTGAGTCTCTGCATCGGTGTCAGAGGTCAGCACAGCTTGGGTTTCGGGCTGCTCAAGTGGCAGCTCTCTGTCGCCCAGTTGTGATACAGACGAGTCATCAGCAACGGGAATTGGTGAGTTGGCGTCCATTCCGTCAGTCTGCGCGTTGCCATCGTGAGCATCATCAGCTAGCTCTTTGGCGTGTGCTTCAGGCGCGGTTGGTGATTCCATGTAAATGTTTACAAGCTCAGCCCCAGCCTCGGCGACATCTCTGTCCACGGCATCCGTTGATTGGTCTGTGGCACCATGATTCTGAGGTGTGGGGACTTCAGCACCATCATTGGCTTCTGAGACGGCGTGGCTGGCAGCCAGATCAGCGCCATCTGCTTCTTTGGCGACAACTGGAACGACATGCTCGGGAGCCTCGACAGCCACTTCTTGGCTTTCTGGCGCTGTCTCTGAGGGCTCAATCGGCAACTGCTGCTTGGCGTCATCGCCACTTTCTGGGGTAAACTTCGCTGCCGGGCAAGTTTCTATGGCAACTTGCTGCTCAGCCTGCCCAGGCGTCTCCTCACCGTCTTGACGAGAACCATCTTGGCCCAGAGGGTCTCTCGTCACCAGCGGCTCCTCAACGTCGCCCAGAACCTCGGCCTTTGGCTCTGCGCGCGTGGGATCCTCCGCTACTCCAATGTTCGTATTCTGGCCCGAACTCGGCTCGTGTAACCCTGGCATCGTGATTTCTGTGATAGTTTGATCATCTTCTGTGTAAGACGGAGCAAGCGATTTTGCCTCGCTGGCTCCATCGTGCTCGTCGACCGCTTCAACAATCCGCGGCTGGCTCGACTCATGAGCGATAGGTGTGAGTGCTGTATCATCCTCGTTGGGTGGTAATTCTCGCTGTCCCTGGGTATCGTCTGAAAGTAACTCCAAAACTCCGTGATCCATATCTTCTTGTAACTCCATAGCGGGGAGTCCCAAACGTTGCGGAAAATCAAAAGGGGTATCGTTTAATGAATGTCGTTCCTCACCTTTTTTCGCCTGCTTCTTTTCGCCTGGAATCGGACCAAGAGTATCTTTGCTCTCTTCTTCTTCCTTGGCCTTGGCCTCTGCCTCTGCTCTAGCTTTTTCGTCATCTTTCTTCTCGGCTTCGGCGGCCTTTTCTTCCTCAGGCTCGGGAGGCGACTTGGTAGCGGTGTCTTCAGGCTCTGGAGCAGGTGCTTCTTCAGCAGATGCTTCCTCAGCAGGTTTGGCATCTGCCTCTGGTGCGGGAGGTTCCTGTTCTTCCGGCTTGTCGTCTGTCTCTGCTGCGCGTGCAACAGTCTCTTCGGCAGGTTTCTCCTCTTCATCAGGGGCCTTCACGTCATCAGCTGGTTTTTCATCAGTGGAAGGTGCTTCTTCAGCCGGTTTGGCGTCTTCGGCTGGAGCAGTTGTCGCATCTTCAGCTGGTGGTTCTTCGGGAGCAGCTCTGGCTGCCTCCTCGGCTGCGGGAGTCTCCTCGGCGGGCTGTTCAGTTGCAGCCTCTTCCTTGGCCTCATCCGCTGGAACCGCAGGTGCTTCCTCGCTGGGCTTTTCTTCGGCTGCGGATGCTTCCTCGGCTGGTTTCGCGTCGTCGTCAGGCTTCTCCTCGGGTGCTGCGGTTTCTTCCTCTGGTTTGTCGTCAGCAGGTTTGGAATCCTCCTCTGGCTTGGCTTCAGCAGCCGGTTCTTCGTCAGCCGGTTCCTCTTCAGCTGCCTTGGCCTCTTCTTCTGCCTTAGATTCAGCTGCAGGCGCTTCTTCAGTTGTCTCGGCGGCGGCGGGCGTGGCCTGTTCCTCGGGTTTGTCGTCAGTTGAAGGCGCTTCTTCAGGCTCCGCCTTCTCAGCAGCCGGGGCCTCCTCTGCTGGCTTCTCCTCGGTAACAGCCTCAGCAGTGGGGGCCTCCTCGGCAGGTTTCTCTTCAGCAGCAACCTCAGCGGCAGGAGCCTCTTCTGTTGGCTTCTCCTCAGCAGTGGTCTCAGCAGGAGACTCTTCTGTGGGCTTCTCTGCCGGTTCAGCAGCGGGAGCTTCTTCAGTTGGCTTCTCCTCGGCCTGCTTCTCCTCGGCAGCAGGCTCTTCAGCTGGTTTCTCCTCGGCGGGTTTCTCCTCACTAGCAGCCTCAGTAGCTGGTTCAGAGGCCTCTTCCACCGGTTTGTCCTCTGCAGGTTCAGGCTCTTTCTCGGTGGCAGCAACCTCAGCGGCGGGTTCTTCAGTTGCTTTCTCCTCAGCCGGCTTCTTCTCAGCAGCGTCGGATTCCTCGGCTGTGGGAGTTTCTGCGGTAGGAGCCTCTTCAGACGGTTTCTCTTCTGCGGGTTTCTCCTCTGCAGCAGCCTCAACAACGGGTTCCTCTGCAGGCTTCTCCTCTGCCGGTTCTTCCTTATCGGCAGCAGCAGCCTCAGTGGCAGTTTCTTCGGCTAGCTTCTCGTCGACAGAGGGGGCCTCTTCAGCCGGCTGCTCTTCCGCAGACGTTTCCTCGGCAGCAGCAGCAGCGCCAGCAGCGGGTTCTTCAGCTAGCTTCTCTTCCACTGCCGGAGCCTCTGCAGTAGGCGCTTCTTCAGCAGGCTGCTCGGCCGGTTCAGGCTCCTTTTCAGCGACGGGAGCCCTGTCGGCAGTAGGTGCCTCCTCGACCGACTTCTCCTCAGCCGCAGGTGCCTCTTCCGATGGCTTTTCCTCTGCAGCAGCGGGTTCTTCGGCGGGCTTCTCCTCTGCAGCAGCGGGAGCTTCTTCGATTGGCTTCTCCTCAGCGGCAGGCTCTTCGACTGACTTCGCTTCAGCTGGCTTCTCCTCTGGTGACTCGGGCTCCTTGTCAACAGCGGTAGTCTCAGCAGCTGGTGCCGGCTCTTCCTCGACTATGGTTGCAGTGTCCTCGGGCTTCTCATCGCTGGCCTGAGGTGCAACCTCTGGAGAACTGTCTGGTTGCTTTGCGGACTCAGGTTCGGCGGCCGAGGCCACTTCCTTAGCTTCGTCGGCAGGCTCCTTTGCCTCGTCCTCGTCCTTGGCGATTTCTTTTGGTGCCTCTGGTTCAGCAGCTTTCTCGGCATCGCCACCAGCATCAGCCTCAACAGGAGTCACCTCGGCTGGCTTCTCTGTGGGGGCTTCCGATCCGGCATCGTCTGCGTCGGACTTGTCTGCAACACTCTCGGCCTCCTTCTCGGCTGCAGGCTCGGGCTTTTCTTCTGGTGCTTCTGTCGCCTCAGGAGCAAGTGCTGTCTTCTCATCTTCGGCATTAGAGGGGGCCTCGCTGTCAGATTCGTCGTCACTGTCGGAGTCGGAGGCTGCCTCAGCATCTGGCTTGACGGTCTCAGAAGTTGGCGTCTCCTTTTCGGCATCGGGGGTTGCTTTCTTGTTGTCAGCCTCAGGGGGAGATTCGTCGTTTGATTCGTCGTCAGCCTCAGAATCCTCGACCTTCTCAGTATCTGCCTTATCGACATCAGGGGCAGGTGTCGGTTTCTCGGCCTCGGAAACGGCCTTGTCGTCTCCGGCTTTAGAAGCATCCCCGTCATCAGAATCGTCGTCACTGTCAGAGTCGTCGTCGTTCTGGGCATCTGGCTTCCCGACCTCGGGAGCGGGCGCCTCCTTCTCAGCCTCAGAAGTCGCTTTGTCGTCTGCCGCCTTAGGAGGATCCTCGTCATCAGATTCGTTATCGCTATCAGAATCTTGGTCCTTTTCGACATCCGGCTTTTCGACCTCAGCAGGTGTCTCTTTTTCAGCTTCGGAGGCAGGCGTCGCTTTCTCGTCTCCAGCCTGAGGAGGTTCCTCTTCATCGGATTCATCGTCGCTATCGGAGTTCTTGGCTTGGTCGGCATCAGGCTTTTCGGCCTCGGCAGGTGTCTCTTTCTCTGCCTCGGCAGCGGGCGTCGCTTTCTCCTCCACAGCTTTGGGGGCTTCCTCGTCATCGGAGTCATCCTCACTCTCGGAATCCTGAGCCTTCTCGGAGTCAGGCTCTTTAGATGAGGTTTCAGTAGCAGCCGGTTCTCCCTCTGCTTCCTCCTTTGGCTTGGTCTCGGAAGGCTTGGCAGTCTCTTCTGCTGTGGGCTCTGGCTTGGCTTCCTCAGTTGGGGCTGCGGATTCCTCCTTTGCGGCTGCAGCGGCTGGCTCCTTGTCAGCATCAGGACTGTCCTCTGAAGCGTCACTCTCTGAGTCACTCTCTGAGTCACTCTCCGAGTCGGGGGACGGTGCAGGTGCAGTCGTCTCTGCTGGAGTTTCAGGAGTAGCCTCTTCAGGTTCAACCTTCGATGATGCTTCTGGGGGCTGGCTCTTCTCGACGTCGTCATCCGCAGATTCTGAGTCTTCTGTAGCCTTGGAACTATCGGGGACCTCTGAGGGAGTCTCCTTTGGTGCTTCAGGCTTGGACTCTGGTGTCGCCTCAGCAACTGGCTTATCATCTTCGTTGTCGCTGTCAGAATCGGAATCACCGCTTTTCTCGGCTTCGGTAGAGGCAGCATTGGCGTCGAGCTCTTCTTTCGGCTTCACATCATCAGCTGCTGGCTTCGGCTCCGGCACTGATTCGGCAGAAGTCTCCGGGGCCTCTTTGTCCGTATCCTCTGTTTGAGCGGGTGTTTCGGCGGCGGCGTTGGTCTCGGCCTCTGCAGAAGCGGCTGCGTCCGCACCCTTCTTCTCATCATCGTCAGGTGCGGAGACCTCAACTTCGGGTTCCTTGGCCTCTGCTGTTGCCACCTTTCCCTCAGACTCAGCCTCAGACTCAGAGTCCGATGTCTCATCAGGCTTTTCGGTGGTCTTTGGCTCCTCTGCTTCAGCTGTTCCAGCTTTCTCGGTCTCGCCAGCAGCTTCACCGTCAGTGGATTCGTCGTCCTCTGAGGGTTTCGCCGCTGACTCAACCTTTTCGTCCTCGGCAGCCTTTGCTTCCTGGGCTGCCTTGCCGTCATCCGCTTCAGCTGCTTCAGAAGGATGGTCTTCCGTAGCAGGTGGTTCCTTGTCAGCGGTGTCATCATCCGATGCAATGGGTGCTTCTTCTTCGGTAGCTTTCCCGCCAGCAGTCGAGGCTACCTCGTCTTTTGCTTCGGGAGACGCAGTTTCTTTGGCCTGTTCTTCCAAATCATCGCCAGCAGTCTCGCCATCTGTGGTAGCGTTGTCCCCAGCCTTGGGTTCTTCGCTCTCGGCCTTGTCACCGGATTCTGTTTGCTCTGGTTCGACAGGCTCTTCAGTCTTGGCAGACTCTTCCTCGGCCTTCTGAGTCTCAGCTGCGGCAGGCGGTTCGGTTGCCTCAGGTTGTTGTTCTGTCTCCTTTTCGGGCTTCATCTCTTCAGTAGACTTGGCCTCGGTCTCAGGAATGTCGTTGGCGGATTTGTTCTCTTCAGCTGGTTCGACTTCCGCAGAAGGCGTCTCCTCTGGTTCAGCTGGTTTAACTCCCTCGGCAGGCTTGTCATCTGATTCAGAGGCATCTGCTTCAGTCGCCTTGGCATCTTCGGCAGGTTTCTCCTCTGATTCAGCAGACTTAGCTTCCTCAGAGGAAGTGTCGTTTGCTTCGGCGGGGGTAGATTCCTCGACAGGCTTCTCTGATTCAGCTGGTTCGGCTTCTTCGGTGGGCTTGTCATCAGTTTCAGCGGGGGCGGCTTCTTCAGCCGGCTTATCCTCTGCTTCAACTGGCTTGACTGCTTCGGTCGGCTTGTCATCTGATTCAGAGGTCTCGCCATCTGCTTCAATCGCGTTGACTTCTTCGGCAGATTTCTCCTCTGATGCAGCAGGGGTAGGTTCCTCGACGGGCTTCTCTGCTTCGACCGGGTTGGCTTCTTCAGAAGGCTTGTCATCTGTTTCAGCCGGCTTCTCCTCAGTTGGGGGTGCCTCTTCAGCTGGCTTTTCTGCTTCGGCAGGCTTTTCCTCAGCAGCAGGGGCCTCTTCAACCGGCTTGTCGTCTGTTTCAGCCGGCTTCTCCTCAGTTGGGGGTGCCTCTTCAGTTGGCTTGTCGTCTGCTTCGGCTAGCTTTTCCTCAGCAGCTGGTGTCTCCTCTGCTTCGGCAGCCTTCTCCTCTGCTTCGGCAGCCTTCTCCTCTGCTTCGGTGGGCTTCTCCTCAGTCGAGGGCGCCTCTCCAGCTGGCTTGTCGTCTGGCTCGGCCGGTTTGTCCGCTTCTGCAGGTTGAGCTTCATCGGCAGGCTTCTCCTCGACCGCAGGCGCCTCTTCAACGGCCTTGTCCTCTGCTTCGGTAGGCTTCTCCTCGGCAGACTTATCCTCGGCCGCAGGTGCCTCTGCGACTGGCTTGTCATCTGCTTCAGCAGGTTTCTCCTCAGCAGGGGTCTCTGTCGCAGCGGCCTCGACAGCAGGGGCTTCTTCAGCTGCTGACTTGTCGTCTGTTTCGGCCGACTTCTCCTCAGCTGGGGATGCCTCTGCGGCTGGCTTGTCGTCTGCAGCTGGCTTGTCGTCAGCTTCGGTGGGCGTTTCCTCAGCAGCAGGCGCCTCCTCTGTTTCGGCAGGTTTCTCCTCGGCTGCGGGCTTCTCTTCCGTGGCGGCCTCGACAGCTGGCTTCTCCTCTGCTGGTTCGGGCTCCTTATCAGTAGCAGCAGCCGCAGCAGCCGCAGCAGCGGGTTCAGGCTTCTCTTCAGCAGGAGTAGCCTCAGCAGCAGCAGGTTCTTCAGATGGCTTCTCTGCCGGTTCAGGCTCTTTGTCGGCAGCAGCGGCGGGAGCTTCTTCAGCTGGCTTTTCCTCGGCGGCGGCCTCAGCAGTAGGGGCTTCTTCAGCTGGCTTGTCGTCTGCTCCGGCTGGCTTGTCATCTGCTTCAGCAGACTTCTCCTCAGCCGGGGGTGCGTCTTCGGTAGACTTCGCTTCTTCAGCGGCGGCCTCCTCTTGAGGAACCTTATCCGCCTCTGCAGGGGACTCTTCTAGCTCAGGAGACTTCTCTTCTGATGCAGCAGCCTTTTTCTCCTCCGCGGGCTTCTCTTCCTCGGGCTTGGCATCACCCGCTGGTTGAGACTCCGCAGCAGACTCTTCTGGCTTGGCATCATCAGCAGGCTTCTCTGCCTCAACAGTAGCCTCCTCTGCGGGGGGTGCGGGCTCTTCGGTCGGCTTCTCCTCTTCTGACGCCTTGACCTCATCCGGTGTTGCATCATCAGCTGGAGCTGCTTCGTCCGCTGGTGATGACACTTCGCCCGCAGGTTTGGTCTCCGCATCAGATTCGGCCGCCTTGTCCTCCTCCTTTGCGTCAGCAGCCGGGGCGCTCCTCTCCGCCGTCTCGCTGCCTTCTGCGACGGATGCCTTGTCTTCGGAAGATTTGGCGTCCTTGGACGAGTGTGCGTGTTTCGACTTGTGGTGGTGAGACTTTTCAGATTTTGCAGCAGCCTTCTTCTCCTTTTCCTTCTTTTCCTTCTCTTTCTTCTCCTTTTCCTTCTCCTTCTCCTTCTTCTCTTTTTCCTTCTTCTCCTTTTCCTTCTTTTCCTTCTCTTTCCTCTCTTTCTCCTCCTTCTCCTTCTTTTCCTTCTCTTTCTTCTCCTTCTCCCTCTTCTTCTTCTTTTCCTTTTTCGTCAAGGGCTTCTTCTCCACAGAAGCTGCAGTCTCGTCCTCACCACCACCGTCGTCATTCTCGGCTGCTTCTTCTTTGGGGGCTTCTGAACCCTCGGGTTCGGCAGGCGTCTCTTCTGCAGCTGGGGCCTTTTCCTCGTTTGCAGGAGTCTCGGCCTTGGCGGTGCTGTCGTCCTCGGCGGCCGCTTCTTCAGGAGCAGGTACTTCGTCTTTGGCCGCTGTCTCTTCTGTTGACGCTTCCCCCTCCTTGGACTCCTCTTCCTTTGGAGCCTCTTCAGTGGGCGCGGCTTCTGTAGATGCCTCCTCCTTAGATGTGTCTTCTGCGGGAGTCTCTTCTGTGGGTACCTCTTTTGAGGCGGTCTCCTCTTTGGACGCCTCGTCTGTTGATGTCTCCTCTTTGTCGGGCGTCTCTTCGGGTTCGGCAACTGGTGTTTCTTCTGTGGCGGGTGTTTCTTCGGCTGGTGCGTCTTCTTCCTTCGCGGTGTCCTTGTCCTCCTCCTTGGGAGCTTCTTCTGCCGCTGGTGTTTCCTCTTCGGCGGCTGGTGTCTTCTCGGCCTTCTCTTCTGACTCTGCAGGTTCTAGGTCCTCTGACTTTGTCTCCGCCTCCTCAGCCTTCTCCTCCTCCTTGTCCTTCTCGACAGTCGGAGGCAGGGGAACTGGTGGAGGTGGCAACAGAGCCTTTTGGTCCTTCTTCTTACTCTTTTTGCTCTTCTTCTTGCTGGATGATGATACAGGTGCAGGCCATGATTCCTCCGCTGGGGGATCTGGTGCTGGGGGTGGCACGAAAGCTGCCGCTTCTGCTTCGGCTGCCGCTGCCGCCGCCGCCTTCTCTTGTTGCCTCTTCAGCTTCTTTCTCTCCTTCTTGGTGAGAGTTGCTTGTGGTGGAGGTGAGGGTGCCTCCATCGGCACTCTCATGTATGATGGATATCCATTGTCGTCTAGAGAAAACTCAGTCAAAGGAAGCCTCTCATGGCAAAGTATACTCACCTTGGTACTCGTCCCTCTCTTGGTCCTCCGTGTCTGAGAAATCCGGTCTTGAATACTGAACATTTGAGAAATTGGAAAACTGTACATGGTTCCAATCAATATGCGTCCTGTTACCAGGATAGTAGGAGCCGTAGTAGCCAGAATCCATACTTTCTCTCCCTTGTCTTCACCCGACATCACGGGAAGGTCTAGGTTCAAAAAACCTGGGGAGCGACTCTATTATCTTGCTGCTTGCAGATGGGCCGGTCAGGCGATCGGGTAGATGCAGTAGGGCCGCCAAGCGGGACGTTAGATCTCTCTCAGACCCTGAGGGATGTCAAGCCTACCTAGGATGTACCCGTAACTGTAGCCTGTACAAGACGGATAGGTCGTCACCGTACCTACGCAGTAGTCTGTTGACGGAAAATGGGGGGGGCGGATGGGGGTGGGCGCGTCTGTGTCGGGGGTATCACGCGGCGCACAGCAGGACACGACAACGCAGGGAAAATAGGGACAAGAAATGCTATTGGACGATGCAAAGCGAGGCAGAAGGGATGGGTTCTCAATAACGATGATTTGCGAGATGCAGGCCTCGGATCATAACGGGCGAACGGGTGGGAAGTCCGGAGAGGTCATTAACGAGATTTCTTGAGGCGGGATGGGTCCATTTCCTCGAGACAAGAGGTTGCCAAAGACAAAAAAGCATGCAAGCCCGACAGGCTAAGCTCAATGCCCAGTCCCCTGCTCGCAATGGGCCACAGGCGCCCAAGGCCCATGGCCCATGGATGCTTACAGCGCTCGCTGCGTCGTGCCCATGCGCAATTGGCCCACGCATGGCCAGCACTGGCTGGCGCCACGTCGCCGGGGCAATTGGGTTGTGAGGCGAGCCTGACGGGGCGAGCGACAAGACGAGGTTGTACAGAGGCGCATTGATACATCAGAGCAAAGCTGATGAGGCATATCGCGGCCCAATAGCACCTAGAGTCAACGGCAGAATCGGTGCGGACCTGCATGACGGGCCGCCTGCCAGCATGGCAACTAAGGAAGCCTGAGTCAAGCGCGGGTGATTAACGGCCCTCATGTCGTATCGGGTGGCCGAGATTGCGTTTGGGCGGCGAGGCATCGATGCACCACCAGTGTGCGTAACGGTGCACTCAGATAGGTAGGACCGCCAGACGCAGATAGGCCACACACCGTCAACCGCCAGCTGCAGCCTCGGGTTGGATTCAGTCGTTACGGGGCCTCATAGTGTGGACGAAGGGGGCCTTGAGGGGGGCACATCCCGCCATCTCCACGTCGACCGTCGACCATCGACACCGTCTAACCCAGCTCTCCCTGCAGGCGCATCCCGGTACGGGCATCCCAGGTCGCGCTGGGTGGAGGAAGACATCTCGAAAACCTGGCTGGCCTGTCGTGAGTCCGCGGCTGCAGCTGAGTGGTTTAGTTTCCCCAGACGTGCAACGTGGCTCGCCTCTAAGGCGTCCTCTGGTTGACCCATCATGCATCTCGATATCGGATGGCCTCGGGGGTTGGGCCGACTCGTCTTGCCATTTCTCTCGGTGGGGTGATTTGGGCCCATCACTGTCAATGTTCTCTCTCAGACATGTCCTAGCTACAATCCGTCCGGTTGGAGGATGGTGGTCATCCCGCGCTGAGGCTGGTGTAATATGTATGGCTGGGAGCAAGAAAACCCGGAGGTTGGTCGGGTACGATAGCATCATTTCGTCCACTTCGCCGGTCTTCGCTGTCAAGGAAGCAAGGAAGGCTGGCGCCGAGGTTGGGAGCGCTGTACGCAATATGAACTGTGCTGAACCTAGTAGCAATGCAGACATACTGCTATCGTCACTTTGACAAAGTACAAAGTCCATGGTCGTTCTGGATACTCGAACAGCCGACCCACTGTCGCGGGCGCCGGCCCTTTTTGCTTCCAGTAACTCTGGCTTGATCGAGGCATCGCGGATCCATTCCTGGGGGGGCCGCTGATCCCAAAAGCCGTGCCTAGCCTCCACAGCATCCACTGCAAGTCGCAATCCGTGCTCTGTAACACGGGAGAAGCTCTGTCGCTGGTAACGATTTCTTGGGCGCCATCATGGCGGTGAGTTCGGCCCCCCGAAAGTGGAGGTTGTGAATCGTTGAGGTTCTCCTTTCTAGAACGGATTGTGAAATGATGGACAAAGAGCCTCCCTCGACAAGCGCCAGCACGTGAGAGTGGGAAGCCACTCTTTCCATTGTTCAATTGATTCAACAAATGCACCAACCTAGGATGCACCTACCTGCGTACCTAGCCTAACAGGTACCTAAATTCTTAGGCAGGCAGTCTGCCAAGTGCAGGTACTAGCGCCAGCATCACCATTCACCAACTTCAGTCGTGATGCATGATCAGAAACAGCAGCTTTAAAGCCCCGTTCACTCCTCACTCCCCGCCCACTCACTTATGTACATATACAAGCTTCTGATGCTCTCCTCCGCTTTATCGTTTTAGGTATATCTCCCAAGACATGGCTGCCAATCAGTCAGCGTCTAAGAACTGCGAGATATTACCAATTGCGCATGAACAACGCGGGCCTCAAGTCCCACAACATCCCACCTGCGCGACACCTGCTTCCAGACTGGTGGGAGTGATATCTGATGCACTCCACGTCATCTGGCGAGGGTCTTCCCGGCTGGAGCGCTCCTAGGCATTGATTGTATCATCTTTGTGGTTGCTTCATCGAACCAGCACAGAGTCGTCCGTCGCTTCATGCCCAAGTCATCTTGGAATGAGGACCTCACAGCTCAACCTAAGAATACGTAGCCAAACAATCACGGCATGGATCAGTCAGTAATATACTCGTGATGGGTCATATTGGGCTCAATACGTTGGGCAAATGTTAGCTTTTCTCTTTGGTATCTCATCATGTGCCTGCAATGTTACAGACACAGGGTAGCTAAGTCCATCCTCATCCACCTGTCCTCCATCGTCATCAGGGACATTTTCACTCCCCGTAGTTCGCTGCTAGCAGCCCAAAAAAGGTACATGGTTGCTTGTTACATCCCATTGCGAATAGTTTCGCCTCGCCTCGTCTTGTTTCGATCCCTTCCATTGTGGCTCAGCCCATATCAACCTTGACGTCGGGATTCATTCCATTGTATCCCATTTTGTAGCGAACCCCCAACGCGGGCCACTCCCAGGCAGGCGCAGGCTCCTAGCTGGCCGCGGGAGCAGCAGGAGCAGCAGGAGCCGCCTTGGGTTCAGTCGCACTGGGTGCGTAGGAAGCCTGAGCTCTATTCTTCTTGATGACTTCCTTGACTCGATCCTCGGCCTCATCCCAGTCGTCAGTGTCGAGCTTGACCAGGTCGATGCCATAATTGGCAGCGATCTGGCTCAACGCACCGAAACTCTTCTTGTCGTAGACGAAGCTAATACTGACACCGACACGTCCAAATCGACCAGTTCGGCCGATACGGTGCAGGTATGTCTCAGCATCAGGCTCGCTATCACCTCGTCCCTTCATGGGGATGTCGTAGTTGATGACCATGGAGACACTCGAAACGTCGATACCACGGGCCAAGACATTGGTGGTGATGAGAACCTTGTTCTCTCCCTGGCGGAACTTGGACAGAAGCTCGTCTCGCTCAGAGCCATCGAAAGCGGCATGAAGGGCAGAGACCTTGTGACCATCCGCGGTCATACGTCGCTGAATCTCGTTGGCGCTCTCTCGAGTCTATGACTGTGTTAACGATTGTACAAAGTGACTGTACGATTGCTACTCACCTTGACGAAAATGACGGACTGACCGATGGTCATCAGGCCGTAAAGCTTGCAGAGAATATCGTATTTGATGTCATTATCGGGGCAGTCAATGAACATCTGAGAGATGCCCTTGACAGTGAGCTCGCTACGCTGCAACTTGAGGCTGTGAGCGTTAGGCGCAAACTTGCCGGCATATTTCATGACATTCTCGGGGAATGTGGCGGAAAAGAGGAGGACCTGGATCTCCTTGGGCAGCATGCTACACATCTCGTCAGTGCTCGTATAACCAGTCGCGTATCAAAACAAAGCTTACTTCTTGACTCTCAAGCACTGATCGCCAAGTCCCTGCTGATCCAGCATGTTGTCGGCCTCGTCCAGCACAAGAACCCGAAGCTGAGAGACATCCAGCTGTCTGCGCCGGATGATGTCCATGACCGTACCCGGGGTTCCAACGATGACACTAGCTCGGACTGGTTCACCACGGGGTAGGGCTCCAGGAATGGCGGCAGCAACCTTGAGGTCCTGGATGAAACGGCCGATCGCATTGACGACACCCTCGATCTGACGGGCAAGCTCACGACTGGGCGCAAGAGCAAGGGCCTGGGGCTGGTCAGGTCTGCTGAAGTCGACGCGCGACAATATCGCAGTGACGAATGCAGCCGTCTTGCCGGTACCAGACTGGGACTGCGCCAGCATGTTTCGTGGGGGATTGCTGAGCATCAGAGGTAGGGACTTGCCCTGGACCTTGGAAGGCTTCAGGAAGTTCAGGGAGAGGAGGCCCTTGAGAATGTCCTCGGGGCTGGGAATGAATGAGTTAGCGGTGGTTGCATGATGGAGTTTGTAGCGACAAACAGTCCGAGATCCTGCCAAGTGGTGGCGGAGTGAAAAGGCGTAGCCTCATTGTCCTGAAGCTCGCTCAGGGAGACCTCGACGTCCCATTCAGGCTCCTGGAGGCCAGAGCCACCGAGTTCCTCGACGGTGCCATCGGTCTGGCCAGCCTCTTCGGCAGCGGGAGCAGCAGCAGGGGCGGCCTCAGCAGGCGCATCGGTGGCCGCTTCGTTGGGGTTCGTGATACGGCTTGCGAGATCAGCCATGGTGGGCGGTAGGCAAGCTGAATGTGTTTGTTCGATCGCGAGATGGAGGAGGAAGGTCGGAATAGTGGGGGGCGAGCGGTGATAGGAACGGTGACGATTTTCTCAGGCGGCAGTCTCTAGGCTGGCGCTAGGACTGGACAGCAGAGAAATTTTGTCACGATGGTGAATTGAGGGATTGCGATGGCTACTTGTTATGAAGAAAGCCGACGCGTATAGAGTCTGAAGAAGGAATGGAGATGAAGAGAGAGAAAAAAAAAGATTAAGCTTGAAAGTTAAAGTCAGGCGTAAACAACAAAGAACCTCAGTCACTGTCTGTGCAGTGGAAGCTACAGGCACCTAAGGTTCCGTGAGGTCAGGTTGGCGGGGTCCAATTGTCAGGCGGGATGGAGGGGCAGTTGCAGCCTCCAACAGCCCCAGTTGCGCCTCCCCCAGCTGCAGATGCAGCTTGCGGTAAGCTTCCGCCTTATGTGGCGCATTAGTTTTTCAGCCACAGCTTGGCCAGGCACGCGCAACTGCGCGACAATGAATAGCTTCCCGGTCAACTTCCTTCATTCACATCAACTACTTACAGTATAAGTGCGATATCCCGGAAAACGTGTGCGCTGTCAAAGGCCTTCGACGAAAGTCGTACTCTCCGTATAAGATATCTACTGTCTTCTAAAGGGACACATCGCCTCCGGCCTCAACATCATGGCAGCTCCTCCGCCGCCGCCACCTCGTGGAGGGCTGTCGCTTTACGAAAACCTCCTCGATCCCAAAGACGCATCTTCTGCCTCGACGACAATCTCATCGGCGCCCGTTCTTTACAACCAATCAGATAACAATTCTTCCGAAAATACTGTTAAAAAGGCTATCGATCCAGCCCTCCGCTTCCAGCCCATTCGTCGACCGCAAGCCAAGCAAGCGAAACCGAAAACTGCGTTCCCCAAACCTACAGCCCCTAAAACGACAGCCCCTTCCGCCCCTCCGGCTCCTGCGCAACCAAAAAGCACTCTTGCAGACTGGGCAGCGACAGAAGAAGATGAGTGGTTATATGGAACAGGCGAGAAGCGCCAGCGCGGAGGGCGCAAAAAGAAGAAGAAGAGGCAACAGCAGGCTGAGATCGAAACTAATTGGGACGACATTTACGATCCTACGCGACCAACAAATGTGGAAGAGTACTTGCACAGCGACGAAAAGGTGATGGAAGTCAGAGAATGGAAAGCTCTACTTTACAGACATCGGAGGAAGCGCGACGAGAGCGACCTTTCAGATGATGAAGAGGATGCGAGACATGTTACATCTAGTAAGTTCGACCAAGACAGCAGACCTACTGTGCCCCTGCCTAACCCAACTGCAGCTCAATTCGCACCGCCTGCATCCTACGCCGCTGTTCCTCCTCCCCCGCGATCTCCCCCAGCACCTCCGCCAGACGATGCGACAGGAGATGACGCCTTTGCGCGCCGGTCAGCCATGTCTCAAGGACAAGCTTCTCAACCTCCTCCTCCACCATCACCTCCTCCGGCCTCTAACTCGGCTACCATATCGCGCGCTCCCGTACGATACACGCAGTCTGAAGCGCCCAAGGACGAAGGTGAAGACGATGCATACTCTCCACCTCCAGCTCTCGGCGGTGGTTCCGCGGTTGATGATCTCGAGCGCGACTCTCTACCCCGATCAAGCCGACCAGGACAAGCGGGCTTTGCTCATCGCCTCATGAGCAAGTATGGTTGGACAAAAGGCACCGGCCTTGGCGCTGATGAATCGGGTATCGTCAATCCTCTCCGCGTTCAAGTCGAGAAGCGACGAAAGAAAGCCGACGCCGATGGTGGTGGTTGGGCGGAACCTGGTGGCAAGGGCAAGATCATTGGCGGCAAGCGCAAGGTAGAGGACACAGGCAAATTTGGTCTCATGAGTGACGTGATTGTGTTGCACAACATGCTCGAGAATATGGCCAATCTCGAGGAAGAGATTGCTGAAGGCCTAGGACAAGAGATTGGAGAAGAGTGTGGAGAAAAGGTTCTGAACATGATCACCAGTCTCAAAATGGCATTGAAGCTAACATGGCACAGTACGGACGTGTTGAGAGGCTATATATCGATCAGGGCAGCAGGAAGGTGTTTATCAAGTTTACGAACCAAGTTTCTGCGCTCAGGGTAATTCGGCAATTCCTCAAATCGTTCCCTACCAGTCAACTAACATGTTACAGGCTGTGAACGAATTGGATGGGCGCGTATTTAACGGCAATGCCATTGTCCCCAAATTCTTTAGCACCGAAAAGTTCGAGAAGGGGCTATACGATTAGACATGCGCATGGGTTTGCTGAATGGGCGTTGGGATAGAGTTGGTTTTGGACTTGGTTCAACAGTGGCATACACAATATGATACCCAAAGGCTTTTTCGTCTTGAGATGAGCGAATCAACAATGATGTGAAACAACGAACTATGTGTTGAGACTGCGTTCAGATAATAATAATTAGCCTATCTGCTAGTGTTGGCGAATAGTCGAACTACCTACGCAAGTAGGTAAGGATGCAGAGTGCTCAGGGCTAATTAATGTCCAACTATCTATCTCTCTTGCTTAAGATGCAAGGCCTATTCAAGAAGAAATGCCACTTAAAGAGTACGGACAGAAGCAAGGTTTGGGAGATCACATAACATGGTTGACTTGGTTCCAGAGAGTAAAAGATGGTACGCACACGAATTGAGGAGGTTCAGTCCAAGTACAGTCGATTATTAAGCTCTAACGGGTTATCCTTTGAACGCACTTGCTGCCCCCGCGAAAGACATCTTGTGCCTCACGAAGGATGACAAAACACAATATGTTGGAGAAAAAACAAGAACATGAGAACAGGGGACGACGCCAAAAACCGAACCATTTTCCCTCGTCTATCTCCTCCTTACAGCAGCTGAGCAACAGCGAAAAGACCAACAGCGGCCAGAGAGACCATGTTAACATTGAGGATGCCAGCAGCATCCTCCTCATCCTTGCTATCGGAGCTGGAGCCGGACTTGGTGTCGCTCTCGCCACCGTTGCCGCCCTCGTTAGCCTCAGGGTTGTCCCAGGTGCAGGTCTCCTCGCCCTCGATCTTGCCGTCATCCTTGAGGTCCTTAAAGAACTGGCAGAAGTCCTTGATATCAGTGGTGGAGGTGACGACAACGGTGCCACTGACGGTATCAAGCTTGGGAAGCTCGACCCTAGAGGCTTCATGTCAGCAAATATAAAATAAGTAGGCCGGGAGCATATTCTTACTTCTCAAAGTTACCACGGAGGCTGATACCGCCATAAACGGTCTTGAGCTTGGGGAGGTCGTCAATGGCAATGAGCTTGGTGTTGTTCTCAATGGCAAGACCTCCACCAATGGTCTCGAGGGCGGGGAAGGAGATGTTGGTGAGCTTGTTCATGTCGACAAAGGAGATGGTCTCGGAAACCTTGGTAAGGTTGGGGAAGGCAAGAGACTTCAGCTCAGGGTTGCTGGTGAACTTGAGACTCTTGGTGACGCGCTCAAGGGCGGGAACCTCGAAGTTCTTGGCGTTGGAGATCTGGACCTCAGCAACGACCTCGAGCTTGTTCATGGTAATGTCCATGTTGTTGCCGTTGTCGAAGATAAGGAGCTCCTTGGTAACGTTGACGAGATCAGAGTTGAAGGCGGTGATCTTCCTGTTGTTGTCGATCTGGAAGCTATCGACGGCGGCGACACTAAGACCACTCAGATCGCTGAGGTAGGTGTCGCTAATTCGGATGGCGCTGATCTTAGTAACGCCCTTGGTACCGAAAACCAACGTGCCGAGACGGGGGAGAGTGATGAAGCTGAGCTCGCCGACGTCGGTAAGAGCGTCCATCTGAAGGGTCTGGAGAGCCTCAAGGGACTCGAGGGAAAGCTTGCCACCGATGGTGGTAATGGAGCTGCTCGACAAAGAGATGATCTTGGAGGCATCATTGGCAATGAAGTCGCCAGTAATCTCCTCGGGGCCGGTAATGACGACCTCGCCGGCAACGGACTTGTCGATAATCAGGTTGGCATCGATGACCTTGCAGTCAATCACGGGAGTAGGCTGGGTGACCTTGACATCCTTGGTGCAGGTAGTAGCGCCTGTTGTTGGGCAACATTAGTACACGCGCCGACTGCAAATTCTAAGACGGCATACCAGATACGGCGGAGACACCAATAGCCGCAATGGCGGAGAGGAGCTTCATAGAATGCATGATGGCCTAAATAGGAAGCACAAATTAGTATCCGAGTTCGAGATAGATCGAAAATATTGGCAACGAGAGTATAGCGTGAGCGTGGATGGGTCGAGGGTCGAGTCCGTAACGTCTAAATCATCTGCAGCGGCCTCGGGGTAGATCGGGCGTGAAAGATGATCGCGATGGTAGACACGGCGGATATCTCGAGTGTTGAGGGCGTTTCGGTAGGGCGGCGATGTCCCCCTTTTGGGGAGTGAGGATATGGAGAGATTCGAGGGCAACCAACCTATGCGCAAGACGTGTGAGAAGACGAAGTGAGAGATGGGAGAGGGAGGCAAGACGAGAGCAAGCCAATTCGGAAGGAAGAAATGGCCAAGCGAATGACAGTGACGACGAGGTGTGGGGGGAAGAAAGATGAGGTTTTGTTTAGGGCAGGTGAAGGGGAAGGAAAAGCGAAGGCGAGACGAGACGCCCCAGGTGTCAAAGCACTGATAAAACGCATACGCATACTACGCGCCTCGGCGTGCAGTCGGGTCGGCCAAGCGATGCCATGCCTTGCCATGCGATGGATTGCTTGTACGTACCTAATTTGTAACGGGACTAGATCCTGTATTTCCTTGATTTTCTTTCTTGTTGTATGTGTTTCCTTTAGTATTCTTGGGGTGGTTTCTCGGTGAACGACTGGGATGGACGGGATGCTTGGGATCAGCAAAAGAATTCCTCCTCAGAATTAGGTAGGTAGTTAGATAAAGTCGGGCGAGTCTTGGGACGGGAAGTCGCAAAAGGGCCTGACGAAAACGAGTGTCGTGAAGAGAAAAAGTGGACGAGACGAGACGACGACAAGAGAGAGGGAAGGAAGAAGAGGTCAACAGCAGGAGAAAGAAGGAGGAGGAGAAGAGAGATTGGACGAGATGAGAGATGGACGACCGCTGCAAGATGAGAGCGAGCTCCCACACGGTGGGAACCTGGCGTCGCCTGCATGGAAGAAATGGGGAGGGATAGGCCAGGATAGCAGGGGTGGCCCCATCCCATCCACCCACTGAAATGTCAAAGCAGGGCACCAACAGGCCAGTTTAGAGCCATGGGGCCCAGGGGCACTCAGACACGCCAAAAAAGGAGCCAGTGCCTGTTCAGGGCGGTCCGTCCAGGGCGATGGACGGGTCCATTGGACGGGCGGGCCATGATCCATTGCAGCAGGAGGCCAGCGCGAGGTGCGAACGGGTGTGACGGGGGCAGAGGCCAGGTGCGAGAAATGCGGCTTGTTCCTCGGGGACACTGCTCCAGCTCCATGCCTACCACTCATTTCCGCTAAATGGATCAAAGACAAGCCACCCACGGCCCCATTGTCGATGGATGGCCGCTCGAGTCACTCACCATCAGATTCACTCATCCATCCATCGATCCATTGAGTTTTGCCTGGAGGTGACCGCTTCTCAAACCTTGCTCAGCGCTGGTCACAGGCGGGCCACGCACCTCAAGCAAGCGACGCTCGATGCAGCAGTGAATGGATGGGTGACAACGCGATTGCAACACTGCTCGGCCAACAGCAACCTTGATTACAACAAAAACAATCAACATCGCTCTCGCATCTGCCAATGCGTATCAATACTTGCCTGACCTTTTGACAACGAGTGGGGTTAATCAGGTCCCTCCAACCGTTGCAGCCACGCCCGCCGTCCTGATGGTGTGGTAGCAGCTATCTCTCCCTCTAGCGGAATGTGGCTGGCTTTGAGCAACCTGATCTCGCAGGGGATACAATTGTTTCCCATCGACTTTCACCTGCGGTCGAGAAGTCTCTCATCAACTCCAAGCTCGATATCGTATGCTCCCGGGCCGGCATCTTCCAGATCAGGCACAAACTCAAGCCCAGCTCTCCTCGACTCCGATCTCCATCGCAACCTCCCACTCAGGCGAGATTTGCTCCCCATTTCAGCTGTTGATGTTGCTGGGGAGGTCCGCTTTCTGCTCAGGCTAGCAAGGATGGCGGGAGGTTGTCCCCGGAGGTAATCCGCAGAGGTGTTAGCGAGACACTTGCTGGCTTGCAACGTCATCACCCATTGCCACCTCCAAAGGGAGGCCACCGAAAGTACACACTAACACCTGGCGACTGAGGCGATTAATGCACCACTCTTTCAACGACGCCCCTGGCCAGGGCCAATTTGCTTCCATCCGTCTTGTTTCGTCCATATCCGCGCCGTGACGGTCCACGCGTCGGCAAGCATTTGCCATGGAGCCGTGACCGATCCTGAACAGACCTCGTTTCACTTCACAATTGCACCAAACGTCATGATCCTTCCATGACACAAAGGCTAAACCTCGCCCAGTCTTGTCTTTGCATCCAGGCCACGGCTGTGCGGCTTGCTAGTGCAAGCTTTGCCATTAGAGGGCACTTGTGTCCAAGAAATGGCCAAGATACTAACACAAACCATGGTGTTGTTCAATTGCAGCATGAGTCCAGGCCTTGGAAGACCTGCTCTGTGGTACACCGAGAGTTGGACGTGCCGGGCATGGGATTCACACACATGCATGGACACCATTGACCTTTTGATGGAGACAGTTCGATACGAAGCAACACACTCGACCGACTGCCCTCCGGGGCCTCCGGAACCTCCGAGCGGGTATCGTCGTTGTTCTCCTCTTTATTGACTCCCGCAGACCAAAAAAGAAACCAAATGTCCTCCTTTTTCTATCCCTTGCCTTTTCATCTGGGAACCGAATCCTTATTTCCCCTGATACTCTATCGGTATCTATTCCCTACGTGCCTCGGGAAGTAAAGAAAGCCGGTGACATCCTGGCCAGGGTCACAGTATCTCTTCTCGCCCCTCGTGTGCTTCCAATCTGAGAGTCTTGGCTGATGCTTCGATCACACAAGGGATCTCGGAGTTCTAGAGCAACCGCGCCCGCAAAGCCAAGACCAAGACCAAGGCCAAAAATTCTTTCTTGCAGTGGATAACCATCATTTACCAGACTGGGGAATATGCCGCGGATAGATGCTGCTACAGGTACCCCCTTTTCGCACCACCCCTGGATCAAATTCGTCCCTGGCCTTCTCTCCCCGGCTGCAAGGGCCACAAAGCTTATCATTCATCTTCTCCCTCTGGAGCAACTTTGGAGAATTAGCCGGGAGAATCATCATTTCAACCAGCACCCAGAGAGGAATCTATCATCAGAGCAACAGAGGGAGGCGGGTGCATGTGCCCTCGGCCATTTTCTCACACAAGCATGAGAAAGAGTTTCAAGTCTCACATCCCGCCCTCAAGGGCTAAAAAGTAAAAGTCAATTCGCCGGCCACTCGACGGTTTGAATGTCATCGTCTTGCTCGCCGCCGGGTATGCGTGTGAGCTTGGGGCTTGTCCCCGTTACTTGGTTGGATCGTCCGCCACCACAAGCCTGCGGCGCAAGCCTCCTCCATTCCGTCCCGCCGCCCCCTGACGCGTAGGTTAGGTTGTTCCAACTCCACATTTGATCCAATCCATCGAGCTGCCGCGGCCTGGCGTGCAGCAGTCTGAGGCCGCTCATGACCTGTCGTCCCTCGCCAAGCAGCCTCCCACTTCCCGCTTTCAGATTCCACCATGCCAGGTTTGCAGCGAGCTGGCGATGCAGGTGAATGGGGGGTGGTGATCAAGGTTTTCACTGCACAAGACAGCTTTAGCCGTCGAGCTGCCAAGACCTCTTGTCGGAGCAAACCAGCTGGAGCTTGACCACGTATCCATGCACCTGATCTGATATATCCATGTCCTTTCCTGCGGGTTGGTCCAACCCAGGCTTGTTGGGTGCTCGGCAAAGGCGTCGTCGTGTGGCGTAACCTATTTCAACACCGTTTGGAAGCGATACCATGAAAGCGGGCTCATCCCAGAGCAGATCGTCGATGGCGAATCGAGCAGGTCCTTCAATCACGTCCCTGTTCCGAAATAATTGCCATTGATTGCGCATTTTGCCCTTCGAGCTTGGATGAGCCGACGAGGTTGGGAGAACGACTCCTGAAGATCATCAGGCGCCTATGGATTTGATAGTCGGTTTGTGCCAATCATTCATACACTATTGATGAGCTCTGTGACATTACATCACCACTCGACGCTACCAGAGGATGGGCATCGGAACGGATCCGTCAAGACGCATCATCATTCAGGAGATCATTTGTCTACGCAGTAAACAGCGTACAAGCAACAACAAAAGCTGACCCAGCAACCAGGGGCAAAGGGAAGCTATTCCATCGTGCTGATGTCTGTCTCCTCAACTCGCCACATGTACCACATGAAGAGACTCCGATACGGCGCGAACTTGTCAGACAGCTCGACCATGTCCTGCTCAGACATGTACTTCCACTTGCCGCCCTTGGACTTGAGTTTGGCAACGTCACGACCGACAAAGGCAGCCATGCCTCTCTGAACCCCCAGATCACCGAGCGAGAAGACATCCATTCTTTTAAGCCCAAAGCAAGCGAACATTTCGACGGACCATTTGCCGAGGCCGCGCACGGCGATCAGCTTCTCCATGACCTCTTCGTCCGAGGCATCGTGAAGCATCCGAGCACTTAACTCTCCACTGGCGAACTTCTCAGCGAGGCCTTTGATATACTCGGCTTTGCGCTGCGAAAGACCTGCTGTGCGAAGCTCCTCGATCGACTTGGCGGCAACCTGAGATGGGAGCGGGAATCGCGAGTCGGGCTGTTCCTCGAACAAGGCAATAAATTTCGCCTTGATTGACTTAGCCGCTGCTCCTGATACTTGCTGGCTGATGATCCCACTCGAAAGACTCTCGAACGGATCAATCTCCTCTGCCAATCCCTCTGGTGAAAAGACTCGACAGTGGTGGTTGTCGATCAGCGGCTTCATGCGCCCATCAACCTTAATGAGGTGGTCGCAGGCCTCTTGAAGCAAATTCTCAGTTGTCGTCCTGACTTGCGGCGCCTTGCTTGGCGACACGGTTTCTATATCCCGCGATGCGACAAGCCTTGACGTCTCTGGTGACAGCAGCGGCGCATTTGTCAGCTTGGGGTTCGCGAGCCGCGTGACGGTCGCGCTGCGAGGCTTCCTGGTAGAGTTTCCAGACTCGGCGAAAAGACCTGCTGCAATGGGAGTCGGTGTCAGCGGCGGGAGGACTGCTGCCGGAGTTGTCGGGTTGCCTTGCGCACGCTTCCTTGGTGGTGTCAAGGGTGCTTCGGCTCTGTCTTTGGCTGGAGGTGCCTTGCGCTTCCGGCCATTGGTTTTGGGCGCAGTCTGAGTGGGAGGTTCTAGCCTAGGTGTAGATTGTGCGCTGATGCGTGCAGAGCGCCTTGTTGCGGCCATTGTTCGTGATGTTGTGAGTGTTGTCCTGACTTGAGTCGCCCTCGATGGTATCGTGAATCGGCGGATGAACAAAGTAAGATGATGTCGCAAATGCGCGACGTGCATGTGAGATTGCTGGTCGTAAAAATTCCCAAGTTGCCTTCACGCTAATGTCTAAAGAACGCGACCCTTCTTGCAGGCGACTTGGTAGAGTATCTCGTTCCTGGAGATCTTGATGAATAGGAGACATTCACGCTGATGGCAGTGGTTGAGACATTGCTACAGTCAGCGATCAGCGACAATTGCGCCCTGTCGATATCATTGGTCCAATCCTCAAGGCCGATCTGGAACACAAGACGACGTCAGCGGAGTTGCTTGAAAGAATTCTCAGCCGATCACTTCAATGCCAGCTACTGAGCATGGACACTTCCCTGGTCATTTATTCCCCAGCTTATCAATCAGGTGTTCTATTTGCGGTGTCCTTCTTTTTATATAGGTACTGTAAAATTGCACCGGGATCTGGCAGAGTTTTCCCGCCAGGACTGGAGTCGGCTTAAGAATACTGGCTGCTATTTCTTTCAGCCGTCTGGGGTGGTGTCAGCATACGGCGTTTTGGTTGGAGATCTTTTACGATCAGTGGATTAGCCGGCCAGGGGGAAGGCATGCTGGTTCCGCTAGATCAGGGTCATGATGTGCTTCGGTTCATGCTGATTCCTGGCCTCTCTGTTGTACTGTAAGAATTCTAACCTCGTATTCAGGGCCTATGAAACGACGCATCAGTGTGATATGGACAGCAGAGTGTCTAGCTCGTAACTGCAACTGGTTGTCGCCGGTCTTACAGTGGTGACATGTTACGCTGATTTGGGTTAATATTCTCCTACTTGTGATGGTCTTGATGGTGATTTTCGTGGTCCGTTCCACGACATGGCATCGGAACGGGTGTGTTATGTGTAGCCATTCCATCATGGACTATGGATGGCATAACGAAGCTTGACTATTTGAAAGCCGAGACTGCGCTACCTATTCAAAGGCAATCATCGTAAGGGACAGTTTAGAGAGAACATAAAGATAACTGTCTAATCATGAAACAAATGATCATGTAATTTATCACGAATCCAGGGTAAGCCAAGATAAAACGAGGGATCCATGATGAATGTTGAAGAGACCCACTCATCCCGGACGTGGACGGCATTCGGACGGGATTCCATTATAGGGGCTGTCTGCCGCTGAAGCCGCTGGGACGCCGGGCGGCGGGCCCTGTGGAGCGCCTGGAGAGCACGAGAATAGTGGGGGAGGCGGCCCTGAATCGTTTCGAGGACCCTGGACTGCACTGCACCTGCCTAGTGGACGCACGCACTGGGCTCCAGCTTTGCTAAGCCAACGAGAATCTAGGCTTTTTTTGTATCCTGAGAGGGAAAGTGCTGAGCTGTCGCAATGTTGACAGTGTAGTATTTTCTGGCTGGCTCCATCTTCCCTCTCGTCGCTCTGCCATCTCACGACCTGACCTGGCCGTCTTCACCAATTGGCACCGGAGCCGCCACACACTCGTTTCTACCTTAGTCTTGCTGCTGAACCTTGATCAACGCGAACAGAACATTGTTGATACTGAACGCCGTCTTAGACACGCTAGACCCCTTTCGCGACGACCTCAGTTCCCCCAAAGCCGCCAACAAACCCCTGTCCGTAGCCATTTCAGCGTCATATCTGTCCCCGGAGGAAAAAAGACGAGGGACCAGCTTTTGCCTCTGGACAAACGGCGATTGCGACGACTGCTGCGACATCGGCCACCACCTAGGGACAGCAGAGCCACGTGGCTTACGACAACCATCGTGCCGACGACTGCTGCGACGGGACGGGAGCTTCTTGGATCATACACACGACGGACGACTTGACCTTGACGATTGGGTGGTGACAACGGTCCACCCGAAGCACTCGCCATGCTTCTCCCACACGGCGGGCTCAACTGGAGAGCCGCAAAGGCCCAGATGCCCCCGAGCAGAGTACTGCGTTCTAACCTGACACGGTCGCGCCTGTTGCTCCTTATCGGTGTAACTGGCATCATAGTACTACTATACCGCAGTATTCGAGCAACACCCCCGGGACCGCAAGAGTATGGCCAAGACTCGGCACCACCTGTCCAAGAAATCCTTAGCTGACCGAGTTCCAGTGTTCGCTGCTGGGGCCCGAACAAGTCCCCCATGGAGATGACGCCGAACGAACATGCCGTGTGGAATGCTCACATGCAGACACCCGTCATCTTCAACCACCATAAGCCGCTCAAGGTCGAATCTCCCACGATCCAGCACATCGACCTGAACCCCATAACATCGAGCCATCAGGCCCTCATCAGGAACGAGCGGATACTCATCCTGACACCCCTGAAGGATGCTGCTCCCTTCCTCGCCAACTACTTCAAGCTCGTTGCTGAGCTCACCTACCCCCACCGCCTGATCGACCTCGCCTTCCTGATCTCCGACTCGAAAGATGATACACTGGCTGTCCTGGCGTCTGAACTGGACCATCTACAAAAGCGGAAAGACGAGGTCCCGTTCAACAGCATTACGGTCGTCGAGAAGAACTTTCATTTCCACCTGAGCCAGAATGCGGACCAGAGACATGCGTTTGAGGTCCAGGCACCTCGGCGCAAAGCCATGGCCAAGGCCAGGAACTATCTCCTGGCCACGGCCTTGAAGCCCGAGCACTCTTGGGTGTATTGGCGCGATGTGGACATTGAGCAGGCCCCAAGGCGGATCATCGAGGACTTTATTGCACACGACAAAGATGTCCTCGTTCCCAGTACGTTGATGCCATTTCTAGGTAAAGGCGAAACTAACTGTTCTAGATATCTGGTTCCACCGTTTCGAGAAGGGTGTTGACATTGAGGGTCGATGTAAGTGATGCACATCTGGTCAATGTTTCCCCATACTTACATCCACAAACAGTCGACTACAACTCTTGGATTGAATCGGACAAGGGTCGCAAACTCGCCGATAGCTTGCCCAAAGATACCGTCATCGTTGAAGGTCAGTAATACCAATGCGCGGACCGGAACTATTCTAACAGCATACATGTAGGCTACAAGGAGTTTGACACTGGACGCCAATATATGGCCAAGATGGGCAATTGGCGTGACAATAAAGACGTCGAAGTTGAACTTGATGGCATTGGTGGCGTCAACATCCTTGTCAAGGCTGACGTCCATCGATCTGGTTCGTTACCACCGGGAGCTGAACTGGGGCAGACACTGACATGTTCTACAGGCATTAACTTCCCTTGCTATGCCTTTGAAAACCAGGCTGAGACCGAAGGCTTTGCCAAGATGGCCAAGCGTGCTGGATACGATGTCATTGGCCTCCCCAACTACATCGTCTGGCACTATGACACGCAGGAAAAGGGCAACAAGTAAAATGCTCGAACCGATAGCTCAGGCTCGAGTTGATCTCCTACGCCTCAGCCCCTTCTTATGAGAAGGGAAGGCTGGTCCTTGGACCTGCAACTCTATACGTGGACCCATGACGTTACGCGTGTCAACGTTTCCAACTTTCAGCGGATTCGGTACAGAATACCGAGCCGAGCATGGCGAGCGCAACAACCATGTTGGCGTTCTCCAGGCAACTTGTTCCATTTCATTTCGACTCGACCCGTCGCGTCTTTAATACGGTCATGCTGGCGCTATGGGATTTTTAGGAGGTGGGGTGGGCCAAAAGCGAACCAGATGCTTTTCTGTAATATTTGAATACTGGTTGTCTATTGTCAAGATTGGGTTGCGATGGATCGAATTGGGTTTGAGAAGAAGCAACACGAGTGTAGATAGAGACTTGGCGAGTCCTGGTGGGTGGATGCGGGTTGGCGGAGTCTGGAGCAGATTTGCAAATAGACAACACAACATAATTTGTACATGAACAAGACCGCCTTGGCTTAGTCCTTGACTACTCTTGAGTTCGACTTTATGGTGCATCTTCAAGTGATGACCTCTAAGTGTTGCCTCGTGAAGTTGACTAGGCATCTGCCTCAAATACACGCAAGCCAATATTATTCCTCTTTCTCAATACTACCCTGATATTTCGACCATTATAATAATACTGACGATATAGAAAGCCTCTTGTCACCCCTCTTCAAGGCAACCGGGGTTGCGGAAGCTGGTGCCTAATCTATTAATCCAGTAGAACGGTCTGTTCCACCATCTCTGCTCATGCGCCATGATCATTGTCCATTATCTCGTCCACAATACTGGAAAAGAAAACCTGAACCGTAATTTCGTCCTGTTCAGGGATTTTGGTAGATGCCTAACAGAAGAAAACTGCGGTTGCGTAATGGAGCAAGGCAACGACAAGATCAAGGTCAGGAGTATCGTCATGAGTTGGGAGATGAGGGAGAACCAGAGAGAAATGCAGTTTGAAGTATTTTTTCTTTCTTTCTTTCTTTCTTTCTTTCTTTTTTTTTTTTTTTTTTGAAGATTATAGCAAGATATTTTAAATGACTTTAAGGGTCCATAGCGGTAAGTATAAGTGTGAGTTGAAGGTATAACCAGGTCGAGGGGCTAAGAGCTCAACGAGGGAAGCTAAAGAGTATTATAAGACTCACTTCGCTTTTACAAATGAAACGTTTGCTTTCAAATACAAAAAATAGTGTGGCTTGAGTCTCCCTAATCAGGCAACCTCCAGGCCTCGTCTTTGTTAATGGGGGATTGAGTGTAAGAAGGAAGTTGGAGGGGTGACACAAGTTCGCAAAAACATTTATCGTGACATAATTGTATAAAACACAGACACATTCTCAAATAGGTAGAAGAAGGGTATCTCATCTGACCGTAAAATGCTATAATGACTTGAAAAGAAGGGGTTGTCTGGTGATTGGCTGATGGGGTTGCTAGGTGGGAATAGCTTCACCTCTGACTCAGAGAGGTGGCTCGCGTGACTCAAGCATGTGGTTCCGTGAAAAGCTCGAGATGCTGACATATTCTCACTTGACCTGTGAAAGGGGTGTAGATATCGGCTCAAGATTTACAGAAAACGAATAGACATGGCAAAAGCCATTCGGATCTTCTAGCAATGTAGATATGAAATAACCCTTGGTCAATAATTTCGACTATCAATCATCGGAAAGCCTCCAATGAAATGATGGTCTTGTCAGCCTAACTTGTACAAGTAAGGGCGTGGGCGAATCATACCTTTCATCTCGGGTTGGCCATGTGAAATATTGCGTCACATGATCGGGAAAATCTCGGACAAAGGCAAAGAGTGCCGTCATCCTCCCGCGAACTGGCACAGGCAACGATAAGAGTCCTCGCAGGCTGCCTCGACCCAACCTTGTCAACCACCAACCAAAACACCAGACATAACGACGACGCTGACGACGACCAAGACCGAAACGAAGCGGTAGACTTGGGTCCCTCGACTGTCCCGAGTCCGTGTACGTCTGCCTTTATTTCTCTGGCAAACTGCACCACCTCAAGAGCACCTTTCGGCCCAACCCCACTATCCCAGTCCGAGTCGAGGCCCCCGTCCGTTACGCCATTTTCCGGATCGACCTGTTCTTTGAGAGGAAATAGGACTCTTGCTCCTCATCCTCTCTCCTCCTCCTCCTTCATCAACAACCCGACACAACAACAACAACTACCAGAAACATGTGGGGCTGGTTTGGCGGTGGCGCGGCGCAGAAGCGCAAGGACACCCCCAAGAATGCGATCCTCGGTCTGCGCGCGCAGCTGGAGATGCTGCAGAAGCGCGAGAGGCATCTTCAGACACAGATTGACGAGCAGGATGGCATCGCTCGCAAGAACGTCAATACAAACAAGAATGGTATGCGGCCCTCACTGGAGCAACGGGACAATGCGGGGCAGAGATGCTGATGGACATGACAGCGGCCAAGGCGGCCTTGAGGCGTAAGAAGACACATGAGCACTCGCTCGACCAGACAGTCTCGCAGATAGGGACACTGGAGCAGCAAATCAACGCGATCGAGTCGGCCAACATCAACCGGGAGACCCTGGTGGCGATGGAGAAGGCCAGCCAGGCCATGGCACAGATCCACGGAAAGCTTACACCGGAGAAGGTGGACGAGACAATGTGCGTCCCTAAACCCCTTCCCCGACTTTTGCCGTTTTTGAAGGAGACATTTTCTGATTTCTTGATACAGGGAGAAATTGCGAGAGCACAATGCCATGAGCGAAGAGATTGTCGCCGCCATGACCAACGCCACTATCGGCGACTACGTCGATGACGTCGATCTGGAAGAGGAGCTGGAGCAGCTACAACAGGAGCAGCTCGACGAGCAAATGCTCACGACAGGCAACGTGCCCGTATCAGATGCAGTACACAAGATGCCCACGCCGGTAAACACAGAGCGTAAGTGCACGGAATGGACCTTGGTCTTGTAACGAAACTAACATGCGGCAGCTCAATCGAGCAAGAAGCAGGCTGTGGAGGAAGACGACGAAGAGGCCGAGTTGCGAAAGTTGCAGGCTGAGATGGCCATGTAAGGTGACTGTTGGGCGGCTTCGGTTGTTGCATAGCATCTGGTTGGTTGGGATTTGAGCGCGGGACCACATACATTTACGCCGACTCTCCTCGCTAACAAGAGGTGAATGGATGGGTTAAGGGGGAGGAAGGGGATGGTCTGTGAACCCCCTCGTGTCCTACAGGTCTTTTTTATTCTGTTGGGTGTTCTGTCGGCGTTGGCGTCTGAGGCTGTTGCTGATGCTTGTTGGTTGCAAACCACTGTCCATCTTTGCCCCTTTGGTACTGGCATTAACATCGCGCTCTTCATCTCGGGCGAGGTTTCGCTTGATGGTTTTGCAGGCGGTGTAGGATGTGAACGCCAGGCGAGGGATATTGGTGACGCTTGGCGAGCTTTCAGATGGCAGAGAATCTAGATCTTTAATGCGAATAAATCATGTAGCATTCGCGCGAATGGGATGTTGCGGAGTTTGAACGGCAGACATCAGCTGAACATGTCTGCCCAGGTCCAACTTGTAAGTTGGGACTGACAAGGGGGCGGAACCGCAGAGCGAGCATCTTGGCGAACTCCCATATGATATGACAGAGTCCACGTCAAGAAGGGCCCAAAAACCAGGCCCCATGTCAAGGTATGGAAAAGCAGCACGATCGACATGTTCTCTGGCTACCAGAAGCACAAGCAGGGCTTGATATGTGGCCACCTCGCTGTCCAATGTGTGGGTCGGGCCGCCGCTTTCTTTTTGGATTGATGGCGGGATCTCTATCTCGTCACCGAAACAAGGCCCAAGCCGAAAAGAAACGGACGATTTTGATTGCTTGGATAATCTAATCGAGAGATCTCGCAATGGGCCGAGTGGAGAGCTTGGTTCTTTCAGCCGGGCTGTTGGGACGGCCCTCTTCAGGTATGTTGGTTGTTAGTTGCACTTCCATGTCAGAGTTGCGGAAGGAAGCCGCAGAGAGACAGACGTGGAAGCCCAAAACCAAGTACCCAGAGAAAGCAAGTCGGCCAGGCGCCTTCAACTGAGTCCGAAACTTGGGGCCAAGGGTCATCACATTTTTTTTGCTGGATCTGAGAAGTGGCCTGCGTCGAGAAGGCCTGCATTTCGAGGTTACAGCGCCGCCGCCATTGGACGGAGATATATCACGTGATACTCGAGAGCCTGTTTCTGGTTGGATGGTTGGCTGTCAGCGGCTGGCGCCGTAGTGGATCACCCACTCCTCCCGCGTTTAAGCGGCGCCTAAGGGAAACGGGTCAGCCTCAGCCACTCATGGTGCGAACCCTAACCGCCGCCGCGAACGTCGTGGGTCTCAGTCTGGGGTGGCCTCTCCTCTATTCAACGGCGGTCGACTGACAATGTTACTGTTGGCGCTGCAGGCTGCAGCAGCAGGCGGAGAGGCCTTTCAAAATAACCCTTCCCGGTTCCAACCTTTTACTTTCCTTTTGCAACCATGACGCAGAGACTTCCCCCGGTACCATGCGGGACCTCGTGGCCCGCTCTGGCGGCTCTGTGACCGTCGTAGGCCCTCGAGCTGAGGGAGGCTTGCAGGACTCACAACGCCATGTAGGCCAGGCAAGCGCTGACCTACCTTGAATGTCTTGTCACGGAACTCTGCGGGGGGTGGAGCAGGCACGGCGGCTGGGAGAGTAGCAGGCCAAGGTGTGATTCGGTTCATATGTCTCCCATGTTTCCAACCTACCCCCCGGTGATGGTGTTTCGCAATTCTTCCCTCTCTCACTTTGTCTCTTTCACTCCCATATGCTGTGTGTCCGTCGTTGACTCCCACAAGACCGTCTTTTTCCTTTTCTTATTTTTCCTTGGTCTTAATAGTTCTTGTGTGGTCTTGTTGCGGCTTCTCATGAATACACTCCGTTGAGATGCTGGCCATCTCTCTTAATAGGATCCCCTTCCTTTTAGGTGTGTTAACGCTGACGCCACCCAAATACCGTGGTAATGACTGACAGTCTTACTCTTTAGATGTTTCTTTGTAGAATGGCCAGAAGGCCATTTTTCTTCCCGTCGCCATGGTTAATCTTCTATACGACCGCCGTGTTGGCAGCTAGCCTACCGAGCGAAGCCGGACGCTATATCCCCAGCTGCGCAGAGGAATGTTTCGCCTCGTTCCTCTCAGTCAACTATGCGTCTACAGGCTGCGATAGCAACCTAACCATGGACTGCATGTGTTCTCGGATAGGAGCTACGGGTTTTACACTAGGCGAGGGCGCAATGCAGTGTATCTCTGCTGAGCGATCAGTTGGATATTGTTCAGAGAGGGAAGCAAGCGGTACGTCTTATACGGATGAAGAGAGTAAAGATCCAAGACTTACAGTAATACAGACCGGATAATAGAATTGGCGTACGATATGTGTAATGGACAGCCCGATGCTATTAGCCCGACACAACGCACCATTACTGCAACGCTCGTTTTGGCCCCTTCAGGAGGAGTCATCACATTCCCATCCGTGACAGTCACCGAACCAATTGAACCTACTGTGTCCAACGGACCGCACCATAGAAGTTCCAGTACTTCCTCTTCTCAAACGTTACCGACGACCCTCGTTGTCGACACATCAGAGCCTCCTCCGCTGCCCATTACGAGAACATCTACGAAACGGTCAGCGAGCAAGGACCGCGATGCTACCTCTTCAGAGGAAGGAACGGAATATCCTACGGATATTGCATTCATCACCGAACCGCCGACTTCTTCTGGTGCCTCGAACGATCCGACTACCTTTTCGACCCGAAAAGCATCTGTCTCTAGCTCGACATCAACGACAGAAACAGCAGCTACCACATCCACTGAGGCGCCAGCTGGCGGCGCTGGCGGCAAGGATGAAGATGATAAGGATTCAGGAAAGCTCTCCAGTGAGCAAGTTGCCGGTATCTCGGTCGGTGTCCTCGCTGCTGCCGGGGTCGCTGCCGGAGCTATTGTGTTGGCGAGGTACTACCGCCGCAAGAACCATCCCAAGGCCAAGACCGGATTTCTCCCCATGCGAGATACCTGGGGATACAAACCAGAAGACCCTAGGAATGGCGGCGGACATGACTCCTGGATGATCCATCAGATGCGCCCAACCCTCGATCCATCAGTTCCTCCTCCACCACCACCCGCTTATAACAGGAAGAGCCTTAGACCTAGCACCCTTGGTCTGGCAATCTCACCCGCCCCCTCAAGCCGTACCGCTCACTCATCGCCCCTGAGGAGGATATCAAAGTTACTCCCAGCAAAGCCAGTTCTGCCAAGTCTTCCTCTTAAGATCAACAAGGAGAAGTCACCTCCCCTACTCCAACCAGAATGGGGCGACCACGAGCACCACAACGTCGGCTCATCCAGCCAAGAGAATGTCTCTCAAATGACAGCACCACCGGCACTCTCATCAGCTGCAGGTGTAGGTTCACCATCGAGAAACAGACCGACACCACCCAAGCTGCACATCAGCACGTCAAGCAACGTCGGCCGCAGGAGCAGCAACAACAACCGCGAGAGCAACGTGACCGAGTTTGAGGAGGACCGAATCTCGTCCTCGGCAAACACCAACTCGACGCAGGTCTGGCGGCCCCCGCCCACGACGCCCATCTCTGCGGGCACGTACTACGTTGCTGACCAGTACGGGAACTGGGTTCTTGGTAATTCTAAACGCGCGTCTGTCATTGCTCGAGGCTCACAAGGCTCCAAAGAGTCGCAGGAGAGTGTGCCGCCAAAACCACCACCCAAGGATGACAACAACATGTCGTCTGTTGGTCTGGCTAGGTCTCGATCTCTTGCTCCCGCGGCAGATATTCGTCCTGCGGGCGTTCCGCCAAAGGAGAAGCCTGCTGGCCCTCGTCCTCAGTATCCGTCTCCTTTCTTCTCGTCTCAGAATCATCCTCGGCGGAACATGACTACGCGCCGCTCCATGACCCGGAACCTGACTCGACCACGTGAAGACTCAAGCAGCAGCAACGTTACCACCATCACCACCTCATCCGAAGAACCCGCTCCTGTGCCTGCCGTAGCCGCCCTATCCCAGGAGCAGCAGGCTACACTCTCACCCGTTGTCGAATCTCCTCCCCGTCAACCCAGGATCCCGCCTCGAGACCCCCGACGGATGAGCCAGATGAGTGACTACAACAGGAGATCTGGTCCACCCACGCGCCAGGTTGTCTACCATCCTCCAGGACAGCCCAGCCCGACACTTGGAATGATGCAAACTCCACAGCAACAGCAACAGCAACAGCAACTGAACGAGCCCGAGGTGATTCCAAACGTTGGACTTGAACAAGATTCCCCCTCGATGCGTCTCGTCGACCCTTCTCCTCCACCGAACGAGGCTGAGGCCTACAACGCTCAACCCATGAACTCGAACCGTTCCCAGGTCTCTCCTTTCTACTTTGATCCTCCTTACCCTCAACCTCTCAGCACTATGCATCAACCTATCAACACTAGTCACTCATCCCAGCATCGCCGTTCCGCCTCTGGCTCTCAAGCCCAGACATATCGACCATACCAACGGCCTCCCTCGCATAAGCCGTCTCCTAGACCTCAGTCCAACTGGCAGGCTGCTCAAAGACTACCCCAGTCTTACCAGTCTTTCCAACAGCAGCAACCCATCCATCCACATCAACGACAAACCCCCAACACATCCTACCAGCGCCAGCCGCCACAAGGATACCAATCTTTCCAACCCAATCCCAACCCCCCATACCCACGCAACTCTGCGTACCAATCGTTCCAATACCAACAACAACCACAGGCCCAGTTCCAGCAGCACTCACAAATCCATCCTTCTCGCGTCCAATACCAAACCTACAATCCTTCACCAACCACGAGTCAGCCCTCGTCCCGATCCGGCGACTCGACCCTCCTTGCCAAGCGCCTCGGCTCGGACCGTGCCGCAAACATGTCCATAGGCACTGAGTCACCCAAAGCCTCCAAATGGCGCCGCGAGGATCCCAACCTGACACCTCCTGGATTTCCCTTGTCCCCTCACTGGAAGCCGACCTTGACACCTACTCGGCGCGGAGATGACCTGTACCTGAACGTGCAGTAGGGAAAATGAAATGAATTTACGCAATCCATCTTTTGTTTGTCAACAACACATACCAACATAGTTATTCCCTTTTCTTTTCCTTTTTCAAGTAGAAACTGTATTTGTATCATTAGCTACTACCACGCACCAGCTGCTGTAATGAGCCTCAGCCATAGACTGGATGAATATTTGCCGGAACCGCAATGGGAAGTTATTAGGGAAGAAAAGAACATTCTGTATTTGATAAACGTTCATTCTAGGTTCCTAACTTGGTATCTTCAAGCCCTCGATCGCTCTTCGTGCCTTCAAGTCTCAATCCTTTCTGCTACTGCTTGGTCCCGCTTGTGCCTCGTCCTCATTCTCCTCCTTGACTGTCTGTCCCATGACACATTCTCTTTCAACAAACTGCCGTGGTTGAGCTGGCTCACTCGGCGTCGCCA